TTGTGGTGGTGCTTTTACGCCAATGCAGCAGAAATGCAATTGAACAACCTTCGCTCCTGAAAAGCGTAATTTAATTTCCCGAAAAAGTTCCAAATTACACCAGCCTATCAGGTGACATGGGCTCTGATGGATTTTCCACGTGGGTGACGGGAAAGGTAACCACTGAACATCTGCAAAATCTATCAAGCTGTGACCAAATAAAGCTCCTTTAGTGATATGAGTATTATCACATTTACTGAAACATGAATGAGACATTTCCCATGGTGCAGATGTAATATTAATATTATATATGCACAGATTCATGGAGATGCATCGGTCTGATCAGAGTAAACTGTTTTTAATCCAGAAGTTAAATGAACTGAACCTGCTTTGAGTCACTGTAGGTTAAAGTGAATGTGATTAAATGAACTTCCGCTTCACACACTGTTTTTACTTTACAGAGTATCTTCTTAAGCTTTTCATCATGGAGCTGACGGGAGGAATCAAATAAAGCACTTGTTGCAAAATTGGGGAATGTGTGTGTGGGTGACAGCTTTACCAGCAACAGGAGTCAGCATTCTGTCACAAATACTCAGTGTGTGAGATACAGAGTATTCTCACATGTATTCTACAGAAGCTGTGTGCTTCACCCTCTGAAGGGGCTTCTCTCCCTCGGTCCCCAACAAAACTACGCCCTCTCCTGGAGACTGCAGCAAACACTCAGGTTGAATGTAAGGCAGGGGTGTCAAACTCAATTTCAACTCCGGCCACATTAGCATCACGGTTGCACTCAAAGGGCCAGTTTTATATATAAGACTATATAAGAATAAATATATAAATATTTAATATATATAAAATAATGTATTATTACATTATTGCCTCTGCATTGGATTATTATCGGATAGGGTAATAACTTCATAATTAACTACGTCTGAAAGCAGAAGTCTAGGGCAAACAATTGCAAGTGTCTTCAGTGCGCATGTCACAAAATGATTTAAAAAGAAAAGCCAAATTCTGGAAAAACAAAAACAAAAAGTGACATTTTGAAAAAAAAATTCGAGAAAAAAAGTCTAATTTGAGATGCATTGTGGGACATGTAGTTTATAAGCAATGTGCTTCTGTAAAGCGGCATGTAACCGTATAATAAACATATTATATTCTTTGCAAGCTCTTGTGGGGCCACATGAAATGAAGTTGCGGACTGGATTTGGCCCCCGGGCCTTGAGTTTGACACCCCTGATGTAAGGGAAGATTCGAATGCGTTGGGAGGGTTACTTTCAAAATGTATTCTGCTACAATACTAATTAACTGTAAATAATGTAATGTGTATCTTAATCAGAGGATCGAAATATTAGAGAAATGTAACCTGATTACTTTGTTACGTTTGGATAACCTTAATACCAAATGCAATTCCAATGAATAAAAGAGAAAATAAATATCAATAAAATGTTTCTTTCTTTGTTTATTTATATGAAGTTATATTTTTATTGTGTTTCAACTTGCTGATGTGGTTAAAAAATGTCCCAATTTGGGATGAATAAAGTATATTTAATCTAATATAACATACCCGATTTGCTGTACCACTTCATTTGGTTATTTTTCAATATGCTTTATTATATTTTAATAACTGCCTTTGCTAAAATATCACTTGAAATAAAACTAATAACTGTTGGGAGGGTTACTTTTACACACACTATTTTATGAACATAGGTTCACCTACTGAATTAAAAACAGAACAAATGAACCAAAAAAAGAAAAGCATTAAGCCGATTCAGGCCAAAGCAATGTGTTGAATATGAGCAAAGGCAGGAGTTCCAGATCAATCTTTTATTGTAATTCGCTTATTGTATGTTGGTGGATTTGGCAGGTAAGTGCATAATAAATCAGTTGGTTCACGGATAAAAGTTATATTTCAAATAAGATTTCAGCAAAGCCAGTTAACTTTAAACATAATTGAACATAATAATGTCGGAATAACTTAACCAAAGCAAATGTAACAGTACAAAATATAAGGATATTAGATTAAATACACTTTATTCATCCCAAATATGGACTTCTGTCAGAGTAGCAAGTTAAATGGGACAATTACAAATATGATAAAAACAGAATAACATAAAAACAAAACAATAAACAACAGTAAATAGATAAATATCAGCATCTTAAGAAAACACAATGTAAAATATACAGAATTAGAGTTACAATATTTTAAAATGGCAGAATTACCTACAAACATAGGATGCTATCTAAAGTTTATTTTGTAGCATTATCATTCAAATGCAGAGAGGTGTGAGTGATATGTGCAAATTGTTCAGGTATTGAGAGGAAGAAGTGTACATTCCCACCCTATAAATCGCTGAAGCTGCTATACTGTGTATATGAAGGTCTAAAGTGAGGCCTCCACCTGAGCAGCCTCAGGTGCCTTAATACAGTAGATGTTTAGGCTCCGCCCCTCCAGGAAGTAGGAGGCAGGTGGAGGAAGGTTGGAGCAAAACAACAAAACATCCCTGCCATAACATCTGCCTTTACAAACCTCTGTTGTTTGTGACACTATCATAAATGTGGTATATTGTGCAGGCCGTGCTTAAAGGTGGTGTTGCACTGGACTCGTGATGTGTTCAGGGGTTGGACAGTTTAGCTTCATTTTGCAGTGGCCATTCAATTAGTATTTGCATAGTGATTAGTACTTCAAATACTTTTTGCTTTTTTTCTAAAACATAAATGAAACTGGATCTTCAAACAACTTCAGTGAAGAAAATGTGTTATTATTTTTAATTTTTATAAATTATTATTATTTTTATAAATATGTTACTATTGTTTCCCTAATGTACTTTATTCTCAGGCATTTTGTGAAGCAGTTTATAACAATGTTAAACTACACCCTAAAGTTACCATTATACAAATGATTAAACACACTTTTTCTTTTGTTATCATTTACATTTGATACATAGTGTATGGCTAACAGGTACAAATAAATCCATAACAAAACAATCCACACATCAGAAAAACTGTACATTCAAATAAAATCCCCTTTTCTCAATTTGTACACAAACATTGGTGATTCAAAGCCTGAGAGGTCATGGTCCAGAAACACCAGAAACATCTTGATAGTAGGTGATATTTCTGTTGAAGGGGGACACTTCCTCTGGTTCCTCTTGAGAGAAAGCTGTGGTGAGTTCACAGAGTGCGCAGTTATCTTCTGATCTGGTCACATGATGCGTTAACTTCCTGCAGCAGGCCCTGTCGAGCGTCTTCAAGTGAAGAAAGAATAAACGTTATCCTGTCAGGAGACATAACTCAGCTTCCACATCCCTTTTCCCAAAGTTCTTGTTTGCTTACTTTCCTTCAAAACCCAGTTTCTTTGGGAAAGTCATCTCGGAGGATAATATGAAAAATGATCTTCCACTTCCACTCACGATCCCTGTCTCCATCGATGTGTGACCTCTGACCTGATTAGATTAGACTTCCTGGGAGCAGCATGGAAATGTGATGTTGCCCTCTGACGTGTATGTTCTGCGGCTCTCTTTTCGTATCCACGCTCAGTACAGGGAGGTCGTGACCCCTGATGAAGCCATGGATGGTGGCTGGCATGGCATGGGCTGCTGGTGGGGGGGTTAGTGGAGATTGCCTGCAGATGTTGTTTGGGGGGCCCTGTGCTTATTTAACAAGAGGATGTGGAACATAAATCTCCCAAGCCCTCTGCTGCACTGTATCACATGTGAGGTCCCACATGAGGCCGTGTTGAACATCCCCCTCCTCAGCAGCACAGTTATGGTGTGATATTGTGAGAGTACTCGCCTGTCATGAGATTTTATCAACAAATACTACATAATAAAACTCTTGCTCTCCAGAGAGGGTCCTCTCATATGTGAGATGATGTCTTTCCTTGGCATGTTGTTACGTAACAGTTCTGAGGAAAGAGAAGAGCCTCTTTGTTTTCCTCATCCTGCCTGTGCTGCAGCACCTCTTTTCACCCTCCGTCTGAAACCAGAGCCCAGTCTGCTCCGATTGGTTAGCTGGCCGGTTCTGTTCTGATTGGTCAACCTCTTATACCTCATTCACACCAACGCAACTCCGGTTCAAGCTCTGTGCTAGAGCTTTTCAGGTTCAGAACCGGTTCTTCGGTTTAGCTCCGGCTCTTTTCACACAGCCCAGAGTCCGACTGGTGCTGCGTCATTGCGTCATCGTTTGCGTCATGACGTAACCGTTTGCGTGACTGCTTCATAAAGCCAAACCGCGCGGAGACCCCTCACAGCTGACACCGACAACAACAACAATGGCCGATTGTGCTCCAGCTTCCTCTGTACCTCGTCAGAACACCAGATTCCCAGTAGGTAGCTGGTCTCTTCAGTGGACCACTGCTGCTTGTTAAGTTTCTCCATCGTTGTGTACAAAAACACCGCCTCGACGTAAGCATGACGTATGCGGTGCTTTTGCTCTAGCCGGACAATTTTTTGGTGCTTGAAACGAACCGGATTCCGGAGCTAAGAGGCTGCTCCGCTGCGGTGTGAACAGGAAAACCCGGTGCTTTTCAAGCTCCAGCTCCGAACCGGCCCTGAAACACCGTTGGTGTGAATGAGGTATTAGAGATAGTAATGTCCCACCCCTTCGCCTATCAGGTGCAATGTGTTGGAGCACTTGCCAATAGAAGCGCGAGTGATGTCATTAGGTTACCGAAGTAAACTAAAGAGTCCAATGGAGGCGTTACGGGGGAGGGGGAGAGACACTTTAGGATTTTAGCCTTTGCAGACCATTTACATGCACACAAACCTATATAACAAAGGGAAACCCCCAAAAAGCATTTAGGGTTCTTTAAGTAAATATATTAATACCACTATGTAGAAATGTATGTATCTCAATCTATGATAGTTATTATTTAAGGGTTATTAACTGTGGACATTTCATGGTGATATCTTTAAGTTACATGTTCACTACAACTGCACAATTTAGAAATACAATGGATTATTTGGACGGATGATATCATTGATATTTGTAAGATATTAAAATGAGAGTGAGTCGAGGAGCACTTTTTCTTCCACACATTCTTTTTATTTGTAAATAATAAAAATGAACCTTTTTTAAAATATAAAACATACACATCATTTGAGCCACATCTGTTATACAAACAAGTAATGTTGCAGTGAATGCTTTACTTTTTTTCTAATTTTCTTTTTGTTTCAGTGGAACACAGAAGTTGTAAACAATCAGCGATTTTTTTCCCGTTAATACTGACAAAGAAAAAATAAAGGAAAACCAGCTTCACCGGACGATGGAAAGAAAAAGTCGTTCTGAGGTGAACATGGCCGGGTCGATCAGACGGTTGAAGTACAAAGAGTGTTCAGACATGACGTATTATCTCCTCATTATAAGCCCCTCTGCAAGTATCACTCAATGAAGACCCGCTGAATGGCTGTCGAGTATTTACACTATATGACTGTGCATCTGTATTCATTCTTTATATAACATGTGTTAGCATATCTGAAATCATTATGTTGAAACATAATTCATATTTCCATAGATCTGATTTGTACATATTTATTCATGTCAGCCGCTTGGAGGTATACTATGAGAGGGAGGGGCTGCGAGGTGTGCTCAGTTCATCTTCCAGAGGGCGAGGAAAGACATCAACGTAATCGTAAAGTTAGAGACATTCAGCACCGGACTGAGGGTGTGGACTGCAGTTCTTTGCGTAACGGGAATGGCTTCGGTTTCTTAGTTTGATCTCTTTAATATTCAAGTACGAGCAAACTGTACAACTGCATGCAACATACAAGCGGCCCGACAGGATGTGGAACTAACACACGTATCTAGTTCACTTTCTTTTTTCTGTATCTGTTTTTGTTTTACAAAAATGTGCATGCAACTTGGAACTGGCTCCAAAGTCATGCTGGCCCCGCCCCTTTCCCCCAGTGGGAGGAGTCTGCAGGCCGAACGGAGGGTGAGCATTGGTGTTCCCGGCCAATCGTTCTGATTGGTTACTTTCACAGAGACGCACGAGGGAAACTGTGATCTTCTTTTTCTGTTAGTCGTTTTGTTTCCGAAAACAACCAGACCAAAGGAATGGAACCAGAGACGTTTCTTTTTTTCTTTTTTTAACTACGTGTTTTTTTCAAAAAGTTAAACTTTTTGTCGTAAAAAAATCAAGCTCTTGTGCTTGTGTTTAAATCTCAAAATAACATGAACTAAAAGGTAGGATGAAAACGTGCTGCGGTGAGGGAATGACCTCCCCAAACAATGTGAACAAATTAGACGGTCCTATTTTGCTCTTGCTTTTTTTTGACAGTGATGTTGAACCCTTGTGATATTTCAAAGTGACATACATTTGATTTATTGGTCAACCTCCTAGGAGGCCTAATATACATCTATACAAAGACGACTGGCCTGGACGTCAGCCAGTGGTGAACAAGGAAAACAACGCTAATCTCACGGTGTAAAAATCTAAGCTGTGTCACCATCACCAGTCCCCCCCCCTGCATAACACTCGCAGACATTTAATAGTTATTTTTTATCTCTTGTGTTTAGTTTTTTCTCTCCATGCACACACCAGACTGACAACATTATCATGAGCATTTTACGTACCGTAAAAACATTTTGTGCCGGTAGTAACAAAGGGAAAGAAACGAACGACAAAGCAAACACGCGAAACAGAGTTAAAAAGAGGAGGGGGGGGACCAGTGATGCGGCTCCGAGGTCTAGGCACCAGAAGAAGGCCCTGTGCTTCCAGACTGATACCAAAGTGGGAGCACCCTGCCAGGGGGGCAGGGTGCGGCAGTCTGTCTGGGGTTCTGGAGGAGGCCCCCCACAGAGAGGCCTGGCCCCCTGCAGGTGAGGGGGGGGATCACCTCTGTCTGAGTCCATACATTCCGATGCTTACGTACATTTCTTTGCTATGTTGATTCAGTTAAAAATCACCCTGCTTCTTTTGACTCCCTTGTCTTGTTGTCTGTGGACAGCCCTGCTTCTTTTGACTCCCTTGTCTTGTTGTCTGTGGACAGCCCAGCTTCTTTTGACTCCCTTGTCTTGTCTGTGGACAGCCCTGCTTCTTTTGACTCCCTTGTCTTGTCTGTGGACAGCCCTGCTTCTTTTGACTCCCTTGTCTTGTCTGTGGACAGCCCTGCTTCTCCAGCATACAGAGAACAAACCATGAGAGTTTCTGAATGGATATGAAACAGTGAAATGCGACGCTCCCTACAACAGACGAGATGAACCGCGACAGGAGTGATTGTCAGATCTCAACAAAGCTTTCTCGTTGTGATTGTTGTTGTTCTACGTTTCCGCCATCTTTTATTTAGTTTTTCTCTAATGTACGGGTCGTGAGTTTGTTACTCGTAGAGCTGTTGGTCCCTAGGATCGGACCCCCGGGGGTCCGGAGGAGCTGTCCAGCGACGACTGTGAAGCCCGCCGCGTCAGGGAGGCCAGAGTCGGATCCACCAGGGACGAGGGCGGGAACAACTTGTACCAGCCAATCACTGTGCTTGATAAGTCCAGTTCCTCCAATAGGATTTGTGCAACTCCCATGAAGCTTTTATGGTCCATGCGGCCGTAGTCCCCCCATACAATCACCTGTAGGACAGTCAGGTCAATTTACACAGCAGGAGGAAGAAACACTTAGATATTTAATTCAAATAAAAGTATTAATTAATGCCACCGTCTAGAGATACTATGTTACGAATAAAACTGTTACTAGGTAAAAGTACAAAAGTAATAGCATGGAGTTATGGCTATTTTGCTCCCGTCAGTTCTTCTTTCAGACAAGTTCAAAGAAAACATTATTACACATTAAGGAGTTTATTGTATGTGTCTGTAGACTGCTCCTGGATACCCAAATGGATAACATTATATAATGCCTTGTTGCATACTTAAAAAATAATGATCAGGAACTTGTAATAGCACAACATTTTCCTAATTTAAGTTATCAACTGGGGAATGTTAATAATGACATCTTAACTTTGCGATGAAGAGTAAGTCGGGCTCACCTGCAGGACTTTACCCTGTGGGCTCTCCTCGAATAGCAGTGCTTGCTGGTACAGTGGGTCAAGTGTTTTCCGTGCAATCTTGGTTTTCTTTTTGGCTACGTACGCTCCATTGTTCAGCAGATAGACCTTGACGTATGGAGCTGAAGGTAGAGGCAAAGCAATAACAAAAAACATTAGTGAGGAACACAGCCACTCTCCAATATAATCACACCTCACAGCTGCTGATATCTTTATGAGAAGGAAAAGCATTGTGAGCTTCGGCTGGGTCTATTTGCTGGATTTCACTGCATGTATATCACTCATAATAATGAAGAGTGTATTTGGGATGATAGAACCGGAGAGATGAAACCCTCTTTAATGGTCACACATGCAGAGCACACAGCACACAGTGAAATGTGTTTAACCCATCCTAGTACCAGGAGTCTAGTACTAGGAGCAGCTATTGTACAGCTATTGTACAGCGCCCGGGGAGCAATGGGAGTGAGGGGGGAAGGGGAGTGTCCTTGCTCAAGGGCACCACGGCAGGGCAGGAGGTGAACTGGGACCTCTCCAAGTAGCAGTCCACACTCCATATTTTAGGTCTGGTCGGGGACTTGAACCGGCGACCCTACAGCTCACAGTCCAAGCCCCTACTGACTGAGCCACTGCCGGACAGTTAGCAGCTCTGTGGTTGGTCAGGATCTCACCAGGGAGGGACTTTGATCCTGGCTTCTGTACCAGTCCTCGGGCTCTGATAACCTCCACCTCCAGCTGACTCTTCTTCTCCATCATGCCAATCTGGATGTCACCTGGGAAACACAGAAAAAAGGTAAGATGGTGGTGTTAATAAAACAAAAGCAGACCGATGGGGGTGTGCACTTCAGAGATACATGTGCTGGAGGCTGCGCCGTGTAGTAAAAAACACAGTGACTGTAAACTCAGCCATACAAATATACGCAGTTATTAACACGGATGAGAGCAAAGTCGTGCATACTTAATACTTCATTCATTTGTATTCCATAACATTCCATGAAATTATTACTGTATTATAAAAGTTAAAGTACTATATTTTCACTTGTCATTTTACATTGAATTGTATTGTAACTAGGGCCGGGACTTTAACGCGTTAATTAAGATTAATTAATCACACAAAAATTAACGCGTTAAAAAAATTAACGCATTTTAATCGCACTTATTTTTGCACCGCGGAACGTTTCTCACTGGATGAGTTTCAGGCGTACCGATTATACTGGAGCACCAACTAACGTTCATGACTTCAGACAACAACAAACCACAGTGAACAACAGTGGGAAATGTTGTTTTAAAAAACGGACGGATGGAAGCGTCGATAAGAGCAGGGTTGTGTGCAAATTATGCAAAAAGGAATTCGCATATCACCGCAGCACATCAAGCCTCAAGTATCACCTCAATGCAAAACATATAGCAGCTAGCGTGGAAGCTAGCGTGGACGTTAGCCTCTTTTATCGCGTTCACACCAAAAAGAGCCGGTACTAAAATTAGTTCATGAGAACCTTTTTACCCCCACGAAAGTCCCTGCTAGAGAGCAGAGAGCTGCTAGAGAGCAGGGACTTTCGTACGGCTCTCTTGTGAGAAAAGAGCTATATTTCTGATTGGCTGGGCGGATTGCAAACCACGCCCCGTAAAACTCCCAAAAAGTTTTGTGAAGCCGCCATTTTATTATCCTCGCATTAGCATTATTAGCATTAGCCCAGCGCAGAAACGCAGAGAGACTAACTTATGGCAACACAAAATAAAACATGGGAGCGGTGGAGATGAGGAGGTGTCGGCGTTCTGGCGATTTACTCGGAAGGCTGCTGGGACTCCCAGCAGCTTCTACTGAAGCCAGTCCCCAACTCCGGGGACTTCCGGCCGGGGACTTTGGGCCGTGAAGTGGTTTGCGGCCTGCCAGTAAACCCAAAGCAGAAGAAGAAGAAGTGACGTCAGCGGCTTCATTTGCCTAATCCACCCCCCAGGTTCAAAGAGTTCTCATGAACTAAATTCTCATGAACCTTTGTGGGAAAAGTACTGCGGTGTGAATGCGCCTAATGGTATACTAAAATCCATGTGAAAAAAATTGCTTCTCACTGTTCTCAGGTCAAATATTTATATGTGATTAAAAATGCGATTAATTTCGATTAATTAATTACAAAGCCTCTAATTAATTAGATTAATTTTTTTAATCGAGTCCCGGCCCTAATTGTAACCTGATATAGTAGCAGAAGACGTATAGATACAACATTAAGATATAATAATAATAAGTAATACTTTACATTTTTCAAATGAGCATTACCTGCATTTCAAACACGTCTTTATTGATGTCATTCACTTGTTATGTTTTCAAAGATTTGTATTTATTTGCAACATAATTGAAAAAAAGACTCTCTGCAGAATCTGCATTCACCATTATTTATTAATGTATTAAACGTGTCACTGTTAAATAAACTAATAAATACATTCAAAAAGACATCTTCTCTTGAGCGACGTTGCTCTTCTGATGTGCCATAGTGACAGTAGAGAGGTCTGATTGGAACTGATTGATTCAAATAATTCTGTGCTCAGTACTTAACTTAGTGCTAGTGTTAAGAAATACATATTGCACCAACAGCATCATTGTATCACCATAGGACCCCCTGCATATGTTTGTATCCATTGAGCTCAAACTGGGCACCAATCACAACCCAGCTTCTCAGTCCTAATGAAATGAATCCCAAACAAACACTAAAACAATTATGGAAATGTATGATTGATAATAATACTTAATTAAAAACTCAAATGAAAATATTTCTAAAATAAAATAAGGGAAAAGAAAGATGGTGTTTTGAATCATCAGTATCTTACCTATTGCAGGTGTAGCCAGAGTTTGCCGCCCCACTAGCTGAGCCGGTCCCAGGCCGTCCAGGAAGTCACTGAACTGACTACTGGCTCCCAGGTTGACTCCAGGGAAGATCAAACTAACACAGAGACAGGATTACACATCAGGAAAGACCAGTCAGCACACTGTACACTATCAGCTCATTCTGCTGCCAGTCCTTATTTACAGCATGAAAGCATCTCTGAAACTGCCCAAGCGAGAGAATCCATCACAGAAAACACTACAGCTTTCATTTGATTCAGTCACAGTTTGTGTTTATCCTCGCCCCACTGAGTCATGTGCTCATGATATCACACTGTGTTTACTGTCACATGACACATACTGCTGGATATAAAACCTCTGAACATGCTGCCATCCAAACGTCACTGTCACATCCACTTTATTAAAGGGCTGTCACCAGTGTAACATTTTGTGTTTGAATCCAACAAAAAGGAATATACGGTATATCAACAATTTAGGCTAATTACACATTGAATAGATAAAAAAGAATAAAATGAAGTAAGAAAATGATAAGAGAAAGATGTGGAGAGTGACTGTAATTGAAACTGGGCTGCGTCCAAACTTCACACTAACATATTGTGGTTCTTCCGTTGAATTCAATAATTAGGAATATTGGAGAGTGATGTTAAGTTACAGGTAAGAAACTCTCCTGGTGAATTTTATTCAAATTCCAACAACATTTACCCCTCCCTCATCAACCTTGAAGTTGGTGGTCCTTCAAATTGAAAGTCAGAAAGTCTAAGCTCCAACCTCCAGAATTCATTCTATTAGTCAAGAAACCTCTCCTGGTGACTTTTTTACTCAATCTGACAACATGTACCCCTCCCTCAACATGTACCCCTCCTCAACATGTACCCCTCCCTCAACATGTACCCCTCCCTCAACATGTACCCCTCCCTCAACATGTACCCCTCCTCAACATGTACCCCTCCCTCAACATGTACCCCTCCCTCAACATGTACCCCTCCCTCAACATGTACCCCTCCCTCAACATGTACCCCTCCCTCAACATGTACCCCTCCCCCTCATCGACCTGGGCTGCCACACCAGCAGCACGGTGCTGCAACTGAAGCTACACTTCATCAGTCATGTGATTGATACGGTCATGTGATGCAGAGAAGATGTTTTACTGTCGCCTGAACATTCTGCTGCTAATTACATACTTCATAATTTAGTATGCAGTAAAGTGTAACTGTACATATGGATGGAGTATGCACTATGCACTACTTTAGTCTGTGAACAGGCTGTGTAGGTGGCTGATGATGATGATGATGATGATGATGAAGCAGGAAGTGTGTGGTTACTGACTTCCCCTCGGAGGTGCAGCTGTTCATGCTGCCGTTGGTGGACTCCCTGCTGGGCTGCCGGCTCATGTTCCGGGTCAGCTCTACCGCCATGCCGGTCTCTGTGCTCCTCTGGATGGGGGCTCCCTTCTCCTTCTTACTCTTCGCCTCTGAGGCAAAAAGGAGGGACAGTACATGGTATATTTATTACCCACATACGTGTGTGCATGCCTACAGCTTTGATTAAGTGAAGTCTGGAAGCCTGACACTGTTCTTCAACCTAGGTAGCGGTGATCCAAAGCAGCCATTGAGGAAGGGTCTTTGGACTCAGTGTGAAGAGGAAAGTCGATCATTACACTTACTCTATTTTATTGGGTTTTTGTATGTAAAAGTTAATAGAGATCTATCAATATACATATATATATATATATATATATATATATTACCTGTAACCCATGTTGTGGTTTAAAAACATGTTAGAGAATTGGAGCTACTTCCAGGGCAAATGTACCCTATCAAACTTTTTATCTCAATGAATTCACAAGCTAAACTAAGAGATGATAAAAATACAGTCCACAGATTCAGTTAAGAACTGCGTGATGTTGTCTTTCTGATGTCTTTCTGAAGCACGCCAAAGTTGCATCTATTTCCTGCTGAATCTGGTTAACAGTAGTAAACAGGAAATTGTTAGGCAGACAAAAACATCCCAAACAGCCGTGTGTGGCATCTTGGTCTGACTACTACCACCTTCTGACTCCATGTTTTGCCATATAGCGTGCAAAGAGACAAAGGTAGACCCCCAACATCCCTTGTTTACGCATGATGTCAATGATGCCTCCTGATCTTCTTGTAAATTCCTAAAGTTGAACTTCTTTTTCTCATCCATCTTGAACAGGAAAGCTTGAACAAAGGAAGGTTTATCTCCACTTCCTCTCTCCTGTTCCCAGCAGGCAGAGAGGGACACATATTGGTGATTGGTGCAGCAACATGTATTGAGTGTGTGATGCCCCTGTGGGTGACATCATTGAGTGTCTCTGCCTCTCACCTGCAGGTCACTAATAAGATGAATCTCTGCTTAGTGTGCTGAGCTACTTCGCCTCCTGCAGTAGCTCTAGTCTCTCTTTGCTGCGCTTTCTCAACAAACAGACCTTGGTTTGGTTGGCTTACCCTTTCCTTTGTTTGCATGTTACAACACACACACACACACACACACACACACACACACACACACACACACACACACACACTCACACACACACACACACCACACACACACACACACACACACACACACACACACACTTCACTCAAGCTAGTGTGTTTTGCAATCCAGACAAAAGGAAAACATCCCTGCAGTATCATAAACATTCACTTTTATATGTGCACTTGTATGACATTTCTTTCTTTTTTCTCATTTTCTGGTATCAAATTATTTTACCCTTGTATATGACCTTGTTTTAATATTGAGTTCATTGATTTCTAAAAGGGAACTTTTTCTATTGCAGTATATGCAATATTTCACAAGTACATTATGATATTAAGTGCAATTATCACACATTACTAACAAGATGTGTGGTGACGATTTAAAAGGTTGCCATGGTAACTCACCAGGGCCGTTGATCTGAGACGTGCTGCGGCTGCGGCGGTTCCCGACGATGGCCACCACCCTCGCGCTCAGACTGGAGCGCCTCTTCTTGCTGCCCCCGCCCACCGTGCCCAGCGCCGTGTCTGATTGGCTGCCGTCCGTGCGCTCCTGGGTGTAGATCTCTCCGCTCACACTGGAGCTCTTCAGCATCTTACGGCCCACCGAACGCAGCTGCCGACTGGAGAGAAAAATACTGAGTGACCATGTGACCTGGTGGCATGCAGAATGGATGTCTCTGTACTGTACCTTTAGCATTGAGGACAAGATGTGATACATAATGATTAATGGAACATTTCAAAGTGACTGAGGTGGAGGAATGGAATTTATTCACACAACGTGGAACAATAACAGATGAGTTTACACCTGGGACACAAAGGAGGGAAATGATGATAACAGACATGTAGCATATCCCAACACATAACTAAAACTTGTAACATAATTGTGATGTCACTTAACTCTCCAGATACATATATTTAGATCTTAAGAGACCATGCTGGTTATGGTTAAATGTTCTAACAGTCCAAAGCTGATAATCATATAATCCATAGCGTGGTGCAGGAATGAGTCGCGAACCTGGAAATGAGTAAGCACTCGTCTCAAAGTCAATGTTTTTTTAATAAGTTTTGGTTAGGTGTTTGGAATAAGGTCTGTGTTTACCACAAGCTTACTAGATTCTCGTACATTTTTCTATGACACAAAATACGTCAGTAAATACCCCACTGGTAAACATCTGGAGCTATGTGTCTTAATAATGGTAGTTGCTGACACTACTTAACTTTATTAGCCACATTTAGCTTAGCCGTGGTGACGTGAAGTCATGTGACCATCATGTAGTTCATTTATAGCCTAACATTAGCTTTTCAGTTCTAGCCTTTGTGTTTACGCCTTGACTATTAAAAGTAATGTCAATATGTGGAGATTATCCTGCTAAACAAAACGTATCATTATCATAAAAGTGTGTTGTGTCACGGTCTTCATTTCTACGGTATTTCAAAACGTCCATTTTGGCCTACAACAATACGTCATCACTGCACCACTCTATTAAAGGTCAGTCTTCTCAAACGCGCCGCTACACACTGACAGAAGCTGCTTAGAGCTCGATGCTGCCTCCTAGGGTTTCGGAGGAGGTGACGCATGTCCATCCCTTCAGAGGGGGTCAAAGTGCTGCAGGAGAGCCCAGCCATGCTGCCCCCTTCACCCAGAGCCCCTACACCCAGCGGGGCTCTAAAAGACACAGTACAGGGACCAAGAGGGTCCAGTGAGTGACTGGGGAGGGTGGTCTGAGGCCTCTCCTCTGCCCCCTGTAGGGGGGTGAGGGAAGGGCGTGCAGCAGAGGGAGGGGGAGGATCCAGGTCTGGAGGATGGAGGGGGTCCCGGCAGGAACAACACAGGATGCATGCAAGGAGGGATCTGAGACATGCAGAGGGGATCCACAAACACAGAGACACAGGCACAGTGAACATACAACAAATAATATTGAGCAAAATGAAAGTTGATATGCATTTATGTACAGTTTTGATATGCGTGTAACATATGCACACAAAAAAATGTAATCTTTTTGTGTCCGTCTGTATTTGCTTTGTTTGTTATAACTTTAAAAAATGTCTTTTGTGACTTTTTATTCTGAAAGCTCAAGTGTCCAAAAGACAAAATGTAAAGTGATAATACATTTTATGCAAAAACAATTAATTGAAAAGCTTGATATCAGAAAATAGATTTGACTTGATTTAAGCAAATAAGCTTAAAAAACAGAAGCAGCGTTCAGTGAATTACCAGAAGGGATAAGGAGCAATTTATCAAAAATAAATGCATATCAGGCAAGGGGAGAAGGTTGAAGAACATAGAACAAGAAGTGTTGGTGCAAATCCCCCCTACCCCATTCCATTCATCTCTCATCTTCTATGTGTCATTAAACTGGCATGAGACTTTACCCTGAATACAGATATTAATAGTCCACTGACCTGAAGCCAGCCATCCTTATACAGAACTGGATTTTTAATTCCTTTCCCTGTCCAAAAACTGACCCCTTGTCTGATTTATGGATGAGCCACATTACAGGCCTTCTCAAACGGACTCACCCATTTTTCTAAATGATACATCATTTCAGCTTTCTGAAATCAAACTCTTTTCTTAGGATGAGTATTATAGTTGTATTTATTGATGGCATTGTGTGCTGTGCTTTTTTAAATTGTATATTAATTCATTAAGATATTCCTCAATAGATATAAAGTTGGATGACTTACAAAATATTGTATTTTCAACAAAATAATTCAGCTGCAAAAAATTCATAAATATTTTTTTAAAACATCTATGAGAAATCTTAATCAAATTTGAATAAAATGTGTATCTTATAAAGTCTAATTTAAACATCTTAAAAAGGTATTTTTTTAATTGACCATTGTCAATGATGAAGAAAATATCTCATCTAAAACTAAAGGAAGAACCCAATGTCTCTTTCTCTCTTTCTTCGACTGCATTTCTATACAAATAGAAAGGTACATTTTAACTACATCTTTGAAAATCAGCAAATGAAAGTGCGTAATAATCCATAACTGTGAGGATCTGTGTAAAGGTAGGAGGAGATTTGTATTTGTCCCATACTTTATGTACTAGTCATTTATTTGCCAGACCTGTGTCTCACTCCCCCCACCCCCCAACTCTGGAAAGTGTGTCAGAGGCCAGGGGGTTGAGCCTGTATGGATTGTCTGTGGTGAGGCCATAAAGACTCTCCTCTTGCAGACCTCAATACATTAGCGGCTAATAAGCTGCACTCTATCACCTGGCTCACTGAGGGGGGGTTGTTTGTCCCTGTCACTGCTACTGGTCAGCTGGGAGTGTGGATGTGTGTGAGTGTGTGTGCCTATAATGTATTATGTGATTTTACTTCATATTTAAATGTTAATATAACTATTATTACTTAAATAAAATGTGTACTTTAACATGTTATCTCTACATACATATATATTTTATATTATTTTATCTTTTTATTGCACGTTCTTACTTTAACTTCCTATGTTTATTCAAATATTTGTATTCTATTTTTAGTTACTCATCTTTTATTCTATTTCATTCTAAAATGGAGCAACTGTCTAGAAAACCCCAGCAACATTCCTGCTGGATGAATGTGTTCTGATTCAGGATACTTTTTTTATAGGAAGATAATAATATTTGTTGTCTACTGTTTAACTGTTTAAATTAAGATCATTATTTATGTTTTTTTTGTTAGCAATGTTAAAAGTGTGTGTTTTTATTAGTTGTAAATTCATTTATCTAATCTCATTTTATTTAATATTTTTCTTATAAAGTCTCTTTAAAAAATCTGGGAAAAATGATTCTAATGTTTATTTTAACATGACTCGTCGCCTGTGTCAATTATATGAAGACTCACATTCAGAACTAAGTAATGCAATATAAGGGGCGTGGCAGCTTTGATTGACAGGTGTGTGCTGCTAGCCTCTTCTCCAACAATAGTTTTTCTGGGGAGTCACTGCCAAGATTGCGATGGCTGTTGCCGCCCACTTTTTTGGAAGCCTATGACCTCACATCCATCTTTTCTATAGGCTGTGATGCAGACTACAGGTTCAGGCGGACCTCTGACCTCTCTCTGGAGACTGCAAGCTAAAAGATAATAACTTCCCCCCCCCAGAGATCAATGAGGATTTGTCTATAATTGAAACCCGGGGAGTAACAGTGAGAAGATGGATGGTCTGCCATCACCAGTGAATACCCGTGTGGGCAGTATTCCTCTTTACCTGGACTCTCTGGTGTCTCCTGCTACAGTGTGTCTCCTGCGATTCAACTCGGCAGAGAAGCGTCTCCTCCCTGCCGCCCTCCTCCTCTCCTCCTCTCCATCCACCCCCCACGATATCCTCCTGTCCCTTTTCTCCTCTTCTAATGACTTGGATCTGAGTCCAGTTAGTTTGGATTTCCACCGTTCAGTGTATACGTGTGTCAGTGTGTGTGTGTGTGTGTGTGTGTGTGTGTGTGTGTGTGTGTGTGTGTGTGTGTGTGTGTGGAGAGAGGAGATAAGAGCATGCAATAGGAAGCAGAAACATGCAGCATGCAGAAATAAAACAGAAGAAGACACGCAGCGATTAGCATGCAATAGCTTTAATACTCCTGTAGCCCAAACATTTAGGCTTATTTAAAAAGGACTGTAATAAAAGCACCCTTAACATCTAAACTGAACATATGACTAATGAGGACTGACCTGAGTCGCCCCCCCGGTCGTTCTGATTGGATAGACATGTAGCTGGTGCTACTGAGGCGGGAGGCACTGCTGGCGCGGGAGAGGGCCGACGCATCGCTCATATCGCTGTCTGACGACCGGGCCGACATGTTGTCGCTGCTGCGCCTCTGCTCTGCGTACATCTACGGGGGGAGGGATGGGGATTATACTCAAATTGAGATTAGAACAATTAAATAATCATCTATAAAGTGTAGGAGGAGTAGGGGATCTGAGGACAGAGCGCAAGGTGCTGACCTCCCGTTTGGTCTTGAGGTCCGTCTCGGGGTCGTGGGAGGCTGAAGGCCGGTAGGAATGTACTTTCATCTGCAGCTGTCGGGCGCGTTCCTCTACTGCAAGGGCTGAGGCAAGGAAACACAGGGTTAGGTACATGATTGGACAAAGAAAGAGAAAGGTCGAAATCAGAAACAGCAGTGTGTCCTCAATAAGACACACTGCAGAGTATATTCAGGGTCTCGCTTCTGACACTAGGTAGGTGGAGCATGATGTGCACTCAAGTGACTTCTTGATGGATGTTACTGTAGAACAAATATAATAGGCTTCTGAGTAAGATTTGAAAATGGTTAAAAACTCAGACAGGAATGTGAACCAAATCCCACCTCTACATATAATCCCATCCATTGTTAAAAATGTCCCCAAGGGCTTGGAGTTTATCTTTAACTTTATAAATTCAATTATGATTTATATGAACAGTACATTGATAATGTTTTGTTAAATATGTGTTTGATGAAACAATTGTGATGACTTGTGCCTTGTGGTGCCAACGCATTGGGTCTTCCTCACAAGTACAGGGGAGTTATTCAGGGGAGGGAATTGAGGACAGTTCTTTGACAGCAAAATAAGTGAGATTTGAGATACCAAATTGAGGAAGCATACCGCCAAAATATAAATGCAGTTTTGTTATTTGAAGAGTAGTTGAGTAGATTTGTTGTTAAAACATTACATTTTTGACTGGGGACCTGCGGCTGCTTATTATTTTGAATTGCGTGTCCACAACTCCGCTCTATAGTGGCATTTTGGAAAGCTGGATGCCACTACACATGATGTGCCCATTTCTAAAGGACTGTGTTTGAGTCACTACAATACAATCAGTGAACATGTTATATGCTAACATGACCTTTAACAGAACGTTATTCTTCATAGATCTTCTGAAATCAAACCTTGATCCATTCAACAAACCTTGCTCTACGCTGCTGCTCTTGGCAGGGAGCTGAGGCAGCTGCCGGCCCCTGCGACCTGATGAGGGAGTCCCCGTAGGAGAGGAGGGGCTGCCGTGAGGGTGTGCTCTGACAGACGGGAACACATAGACACAAGGAGAGAGGATAGGAGAACATATTATTATTATTACTGTGATCAGCACCAGCTGAAGTGGAGCTCTAAAAAGAATCACAGTCGATAAACTGATGGTCAGAGGTCAAAGGTCATGGTAGGGAGGAGAGGGATGGCTCAGAATCATCAGTAAAGGAGGGCGGGGGAAGTGAGAGGAGTGGCACTGAGTGTGTTGGACACAGTATTGCAGCAATTCTATATATCCAACCTTAACTGTGTCATAATGTTTAGATTGATATTTGACAGTTTAGAGGAGGGAAGACATCGTTTAGAAGGACTTCATTCTAAGGTCATGCCTCTTAATCAAGTCATATTGCACCCTATAAATATAATATTAAAATATATATATGATTTGAATGTTTTTTTGTTTTGTACTTGAGTTTCAAACTAAATTATCTTTGGTATCATTTTGATGATGTTGTTAAATGTATTCTCGTTTCATGTTGCACAAACTACAAAATCCTGCTGCAAATATTTTACCTATACTTATACTTAATAAATAAAAAGAGATAGATTTTGATTGAATCTTTATCAAGTCTTAAAAAAGTTGTATAAATATAAATCTGTAAATAGTTATACATTGCATTCATTCTCCGCAAAGTTGTGGGACTTTGGGAAACTGAAGGAAGAATGGTTAACATCAATAGGTACAATTACGATTTCCCATAATCCAACATGATTGCCAATCACAAAAGATCGTTCCAAACTAAATGGGTCTGGGGAATTATGCTTCGACTTGTTTGGATTGAAAAGCGTTATTGAGTTGATTCAGGAAATCAAGAGAAAAACATCCAAAAGGCTCAAGTTACGAGTCACTGGTGTTGAAGTCCAACGGAAGTTGCAAGTTGTTGTTTTTTATTTTGTCAAATCAAGTCTAAAGTATTTCCCTTTTTTTTTTTACTAGAGTATGACAGGAGTCCAAGTCATGTGACTTATCACACACCTATAGATTTCCATGCCTACTGTACATTGGCTAACAGGGCGCTGTTGTTTTTTATAGTTAGATCTTGGAATTGTAACATCCTTTAGCTTGTTGAGTTATGACGTTCCCATGTGTGCATGCTGCATACAGTATGTCATCACACTCATGATGTGCCATTTAAAGATGGGACAGCACAGGGGGGGGGGGGGGGAGCTGGAGCATGCACCTGTCTAGCCGCGGGGAGTTTGGGCAGGACCCAGACAAGACTGTCTGACCAAAGGGCCTCAGAGGGCCCCCTCTCCCCCTACTGCCCCTCAGGATAGAGGTGGGTTGGATACGACTGCCATCAGCAAATAAAAAGAAATGAAAATATAACACTTGATAAATACAGCAAGATGAAATCATATGAAAATAAAACAACATGTATTCAGCATTTTGGGGCTCTGTGTGTTAGAACTGTCTAGAAGTCCCGATGAAAAGAGAGTGCAGCACACCAGGAGTCAAAGACTGTGGCATGCACTGCTTCCATGCTGCACAGCAAACAGTATTATCCAATGATATGGCATGAGATAAAGCAGCGGCCTCAGAAAATATCTAATAAAAGGAGGACCTTTGTTCAATCTGTGTGTATACTGTAGACAGTAACAGGTGTAGGATGGGTTTACGGGAAGACCAAAAAGTTAACCATTTCAGTTTTAAAATTGACTGAATAAAATGTGAAGGGAATGGAACCCTGAGGTGCTCCTGACTTAATAACAATAGAAGTTGAACATGTCTGAGTTACTTTGTGAACTCCATAAGAAATCAATGGTGCCACTGTATCAGGAAAGGATGAATCTCAATTTCAATAATCCTGATTGGACATTGACCTGAACTGTTGAATACAGATATATATTCTAATTGGTCTTTGAGGGTTAACAATTTTTTTTTATATAGGGTGTATTCTTGGGTGTAAAATGGCATTTGCTATAATTCCGCAGATATACAAACTTGTGAATGTCCATTACAATGTGGAAAGCTAATAACCCCATAAAGCTTTACAGGGGCTGTTGCAAATATATATTTTGTTCCTAAGGCCTATAAAGTGGTGCAGGAATTAGTCCCAATACATTACATTGCATTTAGCTGACGCTTTTATCCAAAGCGACTTACAATAAGTGCGTTCGACCAACAAAATACAACTTGAAGAAAACAGAATCATATAAGTACATCAGGTTTCATAGAGCAAAAACATTTCAAGTGCTACTCAACTGGCTGTAGGCAAGCCAGTCCTTTATTAGTATATAAGTGCTTTGTTAGTAGTTCTATTGCTCGAAGTGGAGTTGAAAGAGATGAGTTTTCAGTCTGCGCCGGAAGGTGTGTAAGCTATCTGCTGTCCTGATGTCAATGGGGAGCTCATTCCACCATCTTGGAGCCAGGACAGCAAACCCACGTGTTTTTGCTGATGGGAACTTGGGTCCCCCTCGCAGCGAGGGTGCAGCGAGCCGTTTGACTGATGCAGAGCGGAGTGCATGTGCTGGGGTGTACGGTTTAACCATGTCCTGGATGTAGGAAGGGCCAGATCCATTCGCAGCATGGTAAGCAAGTACCATTGTCTTGAAGTGGATTCTAGCCGTTATCGGAAGCCAGTGAAGGGAGCGGAGGAGCGGCGTGGTGTGGGAGAATTTAGGAAGGTTGAAGACCAGGCGAGCCTCTGCATTCTGGATGAGCTGCAGAGGTCGGATGGCACATGCAGGTAGACCAGCCAGGAGGGAGTTACAGTAGTCTAGGCGTGAGATGACGAGAGCCTGGACCAGAACCTGCGTCGCTTTCTGGGTCAGCTGGGGACAATACCCTCGAAATAAGTCAGCATTTTTGCACTTCCAGTTCCCTTGTTTCAAGGTCAACTATTGTAAATGCGTTTTTGGTTAGAGGCCTGAAATAAGGTCTGTAGTTAACACAGACACAGTTTTACGTTTTGTTCTACGACAAACTAACATGAGTAAACACCGCACGCTTCTATGTGTCTTAAAAACGGTGGTTGCAAGCGTCTAAATTAGATAGTTAATTCATCACGCCGAACATGTGCCACCTTTAGCTTAGCAGTGGGGATGTGAAGCCATGCATCTATGATGTTTTAGTTTTTACTCCTGATGATTATATTTACGTTTCAAGTCAATCATAAAAGTGCTGTTAATATGTGGAGATTATCCTGCTAAAATCCAATGAAACAATCCCATTTTATCAAGAGAAACCTTGCGTTGCATACTTCCGGAGCAGCCTACAAAAATATGTCAACACTGCACCACTCTATTATTTCAAAAGGAAATCTCATAGGACAGAAAGCCTGTTTGTCAGACAGGTTGCGAGAAAACAACGTATATTGTTCCGATGGCCCGCCCTACTCTGCCTCTGATTGGCTTACAATATTATTCTTACGCAGTCACTCCTCATGCCAAAGAACAACCAATCCAACCAACAAAGGTAACCAGGAATAGCAAGTACGTTGAGACGGTTGAGACATGCCGTTAGCATAGTAGCAATATGTATTTTTTGGGCGATGGGATTTGGAAGAACATATCTGTTTGTTTTTGGGTTGACATGTTTGTGGACAGATTGGCTTTCGTCCAATTGGGAAATGTTTTGACCATTGGTGTATCACATAATCGACAGACCATGCACAGCTATGCTAGCTGTTTCTAATCACCACATTAAGCTAAGCTAACAAAATAGCTGGTTGTGGCTTAATGGAGTGTATATAGGTTCATATCAACCATATTAACCACACATCACAACATTCAAGCCCCTACAACCTACTAAGTGTCAGTAGGGTTAGTAGTGAGAAAAGCTTAGAAACTGAGAGGATGGATGACCGAATGAATGAATGATCTTACCTGTCCCCTTCCAGACTTTTTTTGCTGCCCCTTTGACAGTTTTGACCTGATGAGTTGTTACATTGCCTGTTGGGCAAACAGCAATGCATAGAGACAGAAAGAGAGGAAGAAAGAAAACAATATGGAGAATGATGACCAACATAATGGCAAAACTGAATATTGACTGATGTGTTGGATATAATGTAAAAGGCTTAAGCTGAGGTTTGGTTTTTGTGCTTAGAGAAAGCAATTTAGCTGGAAATTGCACATTCCGTGAATTGTTTCTGGCCAGCAACAGTGTTACAGTAAAGAAAGCACTTTCAAGCCAGAGAAGTGTGGGAGAAAGCGCTCAGCAGGTGTGGCAGAATAAAAGAGGGATTACACAGCTTTGGATCACACATATTTACAGAGGAAGGCAACAACATAAGATCTGGGCAACACAATTAATTCAGAATGTGCTGTAGGCTTTAGGATAGAGCAGGCAAGCAGAGCTGTAGCGAAGTGATTTGGGGAGAGCAGGCCTGGTATACCTGTTCTCCTCAGGGTTCACATGTTCTACTAAGATCCTGGGGCTTGGGGGAATCTTGCAGGGCAAAGAGTTGGAGCACCTAGAGGGGCGGGAGGTAAGGAGGGGGAGCATCCCGAGGTAGGAACACCAGGAGAGATTGTTAGTAAGTAAAGGCACAGTCAAGGCTTTGAAACTGTCAATTTTTCTTTCAATCTTTTGGCATAATGTCAGGAAACAGAATTGGCTTGACTTGGCTCATCGTACATTTCAAATAATGCATCTTTTTATTGTATGCAATGTTTGGACTTATTGGCAAATACATTGAATTGTTTCTTGCTGGGAGTCGCATGAAATAATCAACACCTACTTTAGAATAGACATTGAGAGGGAAAGAGACCTGGTGCTTTCTGTAGGTAACAAAATCCATCTATCAGCATTCCTGAAGAGATGGTTCAGATTGTTGGAGAAAGCGTAGGTATATAACATCCAATAAATGGTGGCCAGCGCGTCGTTACACATATAATCAATGTTTGTGTAAGTGTACACTATATTTAGATTATCTTTAACGTTTTACCAAACTTTTCTGACAAGGAACTATTTATCCATCTTTTTAAAATAAATAAAACAGTAATTTTACCTCCCAGAACATGGGGGTAGCTGGACTACGTTTGCCTTGATTGGTTAGTTTGTTTGTGTAATTGTGACATAAAAGTGTATTTGAACTAACCCTTTAAAAAACCAAAGTCATTCGATAACACAAATTAACCAATCATGGCAGCGGTAGACCACAAACTCCCATGTTCTGGAAGGTAACATTACTGGTTTAGACAAAGGAGTCTGGTGGCCTTGAAAAGATCATAGTTGGGCAATCTGACAGCAAGGTAAAGCGGCAACAATATTCTAAATAAAGCACAATTCACTGAGCTCCTGAAGTTATATTATTATGCTTCAGACTTGAGGGGCCCCACCGCCATTTTCAGTAGTTTATACATTGACTATGGATAAGTAGCTCATACAACTGTGTTCAGAAATATTCCTTTAAGCTTACAAATGTTGTATTTAGTAGAGCCAAAAACATTGTTAAGGACAGTTCACACCCCGGCTTTCACCTGTGCAACCCGCTGCCCTCCGGCACGCGCTACAGGTGTATCAAATCCAAAACCAACAGACTCAAAGACAGTTTTTCCCCAAGAGCCATCATTGCTCTTAACACCTGAAAGTCATACCTCTTAATCATCCAGCATGTGAAATAAATGTGACTCTATATACATATATATCATTATTATTATTATAAATACATACCTACTATTATTATTTATTACATTATAGATTTTATTTGCATACCCCTGGAAATAATTACTGCACTTTATTCCTTATTCCTAAGTATGTATGCTGCATGTATTTGTTGTCTTATATTGTGATGTTTTTTGTTTTGATGGCACCTTTTGAAAGGGAGAAGCATTCATTATCTCATTGTTCATGTATAATGGCATTAAACGATTCTATTCTATTTCATTTGTCTAGTCCATACGAAAAACCCAAAACAACAATGTGTGGGTTGTTGTTACCTTTAAAAGCAGCCAGGCTTGCTGTTTCCCTCCGTTGCTTCTTTGTGCTAAGTTAAGTTAGCGGTTAGCTGCAGCTTATTTACAGACAGAAGAGTGGTATCGTTCTTCTCATGTATCTCTACACAAATGTGTCATTATTTAAAGATATGTTCAGAACACTATTAAATCGTGTTATAAATCAAATTCAACCAGCAGGTAGGTGTTTCTCTATGTAAGTGTACTATGGCAGATTCCTTCATGTATGACAGGGACACATGACATGAACTGGGGGGAAGACATGCAGCATCCTAAACTCAAAATGTCAGATGATTCATGCAGTCCAAAAAAAACTGATTTGAAAGCTGTCACTGAACACAAAGTCTAAGATCATAGTTTCTGTGACATCAGAATCTTGCAAGTTAATTCCACTCGATTTATTCAAAAAGTATGTTCATCTTCTGTTTTATACCTGTCTCTGTCAGGGGAGTGAAAGTTGTTGTCTGGTCTCAGACATGTGGTGCTGGAACTCCTCACTCTGTCCAACTGCGGCTGCAGGTCGCTGCGCCGCCACAACATGGCAGCAGAGAGGAGAGAGAGAATAGAGATGGAGACAAGATGTACAAGGACGGAGGCCGGGAGCAGCAGAGGTGTCGGGAGAAGAGACAGTGAATAATGTGAAAAAAGGATGATGAGTGGGAGGTAGATAAAAGAAAATGCGGAGAAAGTGCCAAAATGTGGGTGAAGAGGCGGAAAGGAGATGCAGGGGGGGGCAGAGAGAAGATGGAAGGCCATCAGACATGTAACGGCTGATGCTGTATCTCCATTTATCATAGCCAGTCATTCCTCGCGGCCAAACACTGTGAGACCACTTAGATGGAAGGTTGGTGAGTTGCCATGGGAACCAGGTCTATGTGGGAGAAGGGATTGCTTGTAAGTGGGGGGGGCGTTTACATAACAGCTGTACGTTTGTCACGTCATGCTGCACTTTCAACAGATGGTTGTTCATCGCATGACACTGCATGATGTTTTCAGCCTCACACGGATGGCAGCAAGGGCTTAGGAGTTTTGTTTAAAGCTCTGCCAGGACATGCTTAAGCCTCTGCTTTGCGTTGAAAAAGGGGGAGAAAGGAAAAGGTTGGGAGGTGCGTGAGGTGGGCGTGTTCTTACCTAACCGTGACCTCATCAGTGAACCTGAGCACACGGTGTGTAAGAATGCTACGAGGCATGGTGCTGCCCAATTCCTGTCTGTGGGGGGGCTTTAGGCATGCTGGGAGAGTGGAGCTGTAGAGGGGTCACGCCCCATGAGAGGAGGGCAAAGACCCGCATGCAAAAGGAAAAGAAAAAGGACACATGCAAGTTACAGAAATTAGCAGAAAAGACAAAAAGAAAAGAGCAAAGGGGGGAAAAGGCGTGAAAGTATGCAATCTTCTTTCAAATGATAAGAGGAGACAGATAATTCACAGTATGGTACGACATCTAATATGGTTTCATATCAAATCAGTTTCAAATGAAAGTTCTTGCTAGGTGAAAAGGGTGTATTATCAAAACATGCAGGCCTTAGATTAGAAACACGCCTGCTTTCATGTGTCAATTGACATGTGTTTCATTCATTCATTCTCTCTTTTGAATTATTAAAACATTATTAAAACATTTGTATAAATATATATAACATTTTATTTATTTATTGTCCATCCATCCATCTTCTCCCGCTTATCCGTGGTCGGGTCGCGGGGGTATTTATTTATTGTAACCTATGTATTTTTTTCCTTTACATTTTTGCAATGTCTTGGCTGTAAAAATGAAATGCCAGTTAAAATACTTGTCAAAAAATAAATGGATGCTGGTGATCCCCAGAACCAACACACACAGCAAATGACAACAGGAAGTGCATCCCCCTGTCTGTGACCTCACAGTGAGGAATTCATTATGTAAGTGTAGCCACGGTTCCTCCTGCCCTCCCTGTGGATTGACCCCATACACATATATGGGGAGATTACATGTAATGCTGATTATATAAAACACAATCTACAGATAAAGCCGGCTAGGCGGCACGTGGCGAGGAAACCTAGCTAAGTAGATCTAATATGTATAGGAGTGCCATGCAAAGGATTAGAGCAGACAAGGGGTAAAAGGTAATTGCTCAAACAGCAGGTCTGCCTGTGGTTATAAGACCTGAAATAAGAGTATGCTACATATCACTATGTACTCAAATGCCAGGACTCCAGTAACTTCATTAACATAAAACAACAAGGGGGAACAAAGAGAGAGAAACTGGGTTTTTCTATGTTGAAATTGTTGCAACAGTGGCAGAGATGTGATGCATTTCCACTGCATGGTACAGCACAGCTTTACTAAACTAAACTCACACTTTTCGCTTTCCATTACCAACAATGGTTGATAGTCCCTCGTACTACAGTGGGAGAGGTGCCAAGCTAGCCGAGCCCTCTAGAACTCTGATTGGTCTGAGAGGTCAGGTGCGAGACACAAGGACAGTCTGCACAAACCTGCCACCAAGTCACATTTTATAAAATGGTAGCCTGCTAAACTAGCTGTATGCATCGCTGTACTTTAAAGGGGTTCAGGAATGAGTCCTAAAAACTAAATGATTTAGCATTTTTGAAAGCTTTTGTGGTTTAATGCCTGAAATAACATCTGGGATTTAGACTATGGATTGTCACATTTTGTTCCACCACATAAAACATGTGAGTAAATACCCACTGCTGGATTCCCACAGCGTTCTGTGTGTCTTAGAAACAGCGGTTGCAAACAAGTGACTAAATGAGATTACTAAACATCATCACACCAAACACGAATGTGCCTCTAGTTACAGGTGATGACTTGAAGATGTTATTTTTTTGTTAGCTTCGAACTTCTGGTGATTGCATTTATCCTTTAAAAATAAACATATGGGAGATCATTCTGTTAAACACATGTTAGTATTATAAACGTGTGTCTACAATATCCAAAGGAAAAATCCCATTGCTTTTTGTCGAAGGAGCCCTAGCGACACTAACTTGCAGGTCAGCCTACAAGAGTATGTCATCACTGCACCACGTTATAGCCTGACTCGTAACCAACTGCAGCAGAAATGCAGTGATCAGTTCTGAATAATTGAGTTGTGTTAAAGGTTGGATGAAATTGCAGATCGAGATTCAGCTCATAATAAAAAAAGAAACTATTCTCAAAATGATGCCCTTGTTGATTAGCATGCATGTGTGATCATCCAAGCTTGTGAAGCCAACACTTTATTGGCACTTAATTCAATTCAAGAAACTTCTGATATGTTTGAGAGGTGGTGAGGTGTGATGGGGTACAATGTGATCACACCACTATTGAAAGGATTGAATAATACAGAGGGAAAAGCAACACAGCATTTACCACTCTGGACCAAAGCAAGCACAAGCAGCACAGCATTCTGGGAGACACACGGCCATTTATTGCAGAGGGAGAACACTGCTGCAACTAAATGACCCACCAACTCCACAGATGGAAAAGCTGGACAGGCACAGAGAAGGGAACGCAACACTGCCTTTCACGCTGAACGCTTACCTGTAAATGTCTTTATGGATACCGTTTACTAACAGGGGCATTTTGGGGGGTAGTGTGTTGCTGTATCTACATACGCCCCTGGTTGTACGATGGGGAGATCATGCATCGTAAAGCAAGACAAGGAAACAAAAATAGTGGAAGAAATACACAACTCCTGTGAGTATACACATCAAAATGCAAACAAATGAATAAATGAAATTAATCAAAAGAGCTTTGCCTTTCTTTAAGGTCAGCCACTGAGCAGGTGTGTAATCCCCTCACACAGTGATCATTGTGGTGTGTGTGTGTGTGTGTGTGTGTGTGCGTGCGTGTGTGTGTGTGTGTGTGTGTGTGTGTGTGTGTGTGTGAGACACAGTTGTGGTCAATAGTCAATCATGACTTTATGATACGTTGGGTTCATGCATTTGCAAAAAAGCAGACAGTGTCTACAGTCCATTAAACCAACACATGAATCAACATTAAGAGTGTTAACATGGAGGTGTTAAAGTATAGTGAGGATGATGAAGATGATGACATGGCATATTCTATCAAAAATAATCTGCAGGGTGTTTCTTGTCTTTTTCTTTCTTTCTTTTGTTACCTGTTTGTGTGCAGGCACTCGGCACTCCCGCCCCGGATAGACCTGTGCATCTCCAGGACCTCACTGTCATTGCCATGACGATGGGTGAACATATGAGAAACAACCCAGAGGAAACACAACAGAAAAGGATGGCAACTCAGACAGGTAAAGTGAATTTATGAATGAGAGAAACCAGGAAATCATAACTCTGAGATTTCAATCAAGTCTGCATTCATATTCCAATGACTAGTTTCACACGGTTAGTAGGGTTAGTAGGAACTGGTTGGGCCACATCACATTACACACATTGATTGACCTTTGACCTTTATGGAAAATACAAACTATTCAAAAAGTCATGGCACAAGTGCATTTTGGAACTTTATTTCTGCACATTGCAGAAGAGTGGCCGGTTGCACAAAAGTCTTCTTTAAGTGTCCTCCTCAAGTAAGGCATTGAATAGCCTTATTTCTCCTGAACTGAGGGATTTACTTATGTGTGTAAAGAACCTGATCAAAGATCCTGTATCTATTGTTTTTCCAACCCAGTTCAGATTTAAACATGGCCACTTCTTGCATGACGAAAGCATTGAGGCAGCGTCAGAGAGCCTCAGTCGATGTACCTTGTTACTGTCAAACACGGCCAGAGTATTTTTACGTTTTTAACGTTGACTGCAAAGGGAGTTGCCTTCGGTATAAAACCAGGATGAGGAGGAAAAGTACTTGGGTGATCATTTTAAGCAAAGGAAAAAGGACCAAACTCAAGCGAGTTTTGTACAACCAAGTCTGCGTTCCAATACCCATGTTACCATAATATTTTAATATGCCAGAAAAATATTTAGTATGTGTATAAGAAGTAAAAATTCAGTATGACAAAAAAATACCAGGATGTTCTACTGGCTAATCTGGACCACGGTTCTTTGTGCAGGGCCTATATGAGTATATATGAGAGGTGCAATGGTATAAATAAGTAAAATGTCCAAATTCGGTGCATACTGCATTGCAGCAGCAGAACATATTGTATTGTAAAGAAAACTTCTCTTTGACTTCTATGATATTTAGTTAGACCGCACACAATGATCCAATGTGATCCAATCATGTTACACTAGTTGTAGTAAACTATAACACAGGAGCAATCATCCCCACAGACCCCAGTAGCAGGTTACCTGTCCTCAGAGTACTCGTAGTCCGAGTCCCCGGAGCGCTGGTGCTCTAAGTGGGAGTCATGGTAGCGGGAGGGGGAGTGGGAGTGGGGGCGGTTCTGGTGGATCTCATCCAGACTCCTGAAGGAAACAAAAATATTATATACAATATACTGAGTTTTTCATGGTATGGATCTTATTTTGTGATTTGTAACAAACCTGAAGCTAAATCATAAGTAAGAGCATTATGTTCTTACTTATGATTTAGCTGACTCAAAATGAATGTATGCTAAACTATTAAATGATGGGAAATACAGATAGCCCGATGTTCTTCCCTTGACTCTGGTCAAAACTATATATAATGAGCCGAACTAGAATTTGAAAATAAGAACAAAATCTGTGAATTATATAAATCACAATGACAACAAAATGTGTTAAAAGCACACAATCTTATTTTTTGGTTGACCCGGCTTTGTGTGGTATTCTGTAAGGTATGTATATCAAGAGATATAACAGAATATAATCATGATAAACCCATTTCCTCAATATGCTTCACCACTGACAATTCAAATGCAGACACATGTGTGACATGTGTGATGAAGACAAAGAAAGTCCTGCTTCTGTGCCTTTATGTGAATAAAAGATAAAGATGTAACCCAACTCAAATGTTTTTTCTGTATTTTTGTATAATAGCCGTGCTGGTTTGAACATATTTGGCTGCTTCTAGCGGGCATAAGAGTTAACAACATTGCCATCAATATGTGCCAAAGCCATAAACACAGATGTGTTTTACTTGGTAGTGATCAGGCTATACAGTTGGATGATTAAAAGCCTTAATAAATGCATGTTAACAAGCCGCATCAGTTCTGTGTCAGGGGGCATAACAACTCACACTGACTGAGACTGTTGTAGACCACACAATAACCCCTGAAAAAAGCTAAAATGTCAAGTACTTGGACATGTAATCAATATGGATATGTGAAGCTCTACAGGGATATTCCCTTTGCCAACATCATAACAACTCAGAATCTACAAGAAGGGTCTAGTTTTAGAACTCCAGGATAAGGCCTTTGTTGTCCCAAGCTTGGAGATGGAACTAACATCGCCAGAGAGGATCCTCAGGATACCATTGCAAGGTAAACTATACAACCCTAATATTTCAATGTGATTGTAGCTTATAACTTTAGCGTAATGTAAAGTGAAGCAGTAAATAACTTGTACTACCTATGAGTTTGCTTACTAAGGTAAGCTAGCAATGCTAATGTTGTTAGCACACTAACATTAGCTCTTTAGCTTTATTTTCTTTGTTTTGGTGCGCGTCTTTTTTGTTGTGTGATTTGTTGTGTGAATGGTAGTTTGCAAAGATATTATAACTTTATATACTATATAACTATTATAACTTTATAAATTAAAGATATATATCAAATAATAAAATCCTACTCGACTTTGGTTTTATTCGTTGAGGTTATGTGGTATAGACATATGGATATGTGTTACTATATTTATATATATATGCCCTTTAGTCAATTCTTTTAATTATCAAGCACAAAAAAAACAATTAAGTAAATGCTAGGGCCGTCAACGCGTCAGCAAATTAATCAAATTGCCACGTGTATTTGTTTTATCTCCTCACAAAAAGTAAATACTAGCATTGTAAACATAATGTTTAATAAGGATTAATCACAGGTTATTATTGTGATTAATGTCTAAATAGATTGACACCACTAATAAATACACTGCACACTATACTATAGAGTCAATTATTCTAAAAGAAGCATGATAAACACATGCCATTTTCAGGCCAAGTCTGGAGCTCTGCAGTGAAACACTATTCAATTATTGACAACACATGACTAACCCTACTGACTACCCTTCAGATACTGGATAGTGCTGATGAACACTGTCCCCACAGACACCCCTCTGACAGTTCCCCAGCTCTCTGGCAGGTGCACTGACCTTTGCATTGGCACGTGTGCAGGGCGGGAGCGGGCCCTGCAGGAGTCCTCCCTGTGGGGGGACACGGAGCGGGAGCGGTGCTGCACGGCCCGCTGCTGCTCCGGCACCGCTAGTGTACTGCCCCGCTCTCTCTCCCTGGAGTTACGCTCTGCACCTACACACACACACACACACACACACACACACACACACACACACACACACACACACACACACACACAGTCGTACAGTGTTGATTCATAGATACACACATAGAAACAGAAACACACACACATACAGACATTAGTTGCGTGTCCTCTGATTAGGATGGACCAGCAGTGTGACTACGGCGAGAGATGCCATTATCTTACAGACTGTAAACATCACATCAGGATGTTCTACAGGCAACAGGTTAGCAGGTCATGTGAGCTAGCCTGAGTAGCTGACTGTTTCTGCAGTGACTCTGTCAGACCTGAGATCAGCGGGTGAAAGTGGAAAGGTGTCTTTTGTTTTCTGCAAAGATAAAGTTAAAAGCACATCCTAATGTTTGGAACCCTCCCGATTGATTGATCACCATAAAAACCAGCAACATTGACAGAAATGTTGTGTCTTTTTGATAAAGAAAGATAAGGTACAAGCCTGTGTACATAAAAACTATTGGTAACAATTTGGTAAACAACTTCTGTTCTCTTTAAAAAAGCACAATATGCAGTTTAAATTAGCTCCAATTTGGAACATAACATTAACCAGATTTATAATATTATTATGTCAATATATTTCTGTGTTAATGTACATTAAATATGTATCATAGACTTCTGGGCTACATCATTGCATCTCTTTTGGGCTTTATCCCTGTACAATGCATATCCTTTTTTCTTTTCTTTTTTTACATTTCCACATAAAGCTATCCCTTCTTAAAGAGCACAGCTTTTCATTTCAAGTGTGTGTATAAAGTTGCATTCACATGATATGCGTTCTGCTCTTTGCTCACTGCAAAGTTTGGCGCAGAGCATTACGTTCAACACAGCTAGTTAAGATTTGTTTATGTGGTTACCTCCCTATGCTATACATTCAACCAGTGGCGAGCCGTCAGGGCCCTCTCTAATAATATTTGAAAACATTAAAAAAAAATATATATATATTTTTTTAGTTATATTTTTCATTAGTTTTACCAAAATAACTTGATTTAATTGTATTTTAAATAACATTTCCAAAGAAATAAATCCTTCGAAACTGCCTGTTCAGTTTCTGTTTGAATGTGAAGGGTTAAATGAAAGAAGCTCGTCTCTGCGAGTTATGTGAAGACAGGAGCTGATTGGTGGTCCTGCTGTAAATGCACAGAGGGCCCGCTATAGTAACTCAGAGAGAGTAATGTCAAATGACAGTACAATTGACCAATCATATCTTCCCTCTAAATGGGTGGGCTTTATTGTCGCGGACTTTATGATAAGTTCCGGCCGCTGTGAGGTTTATGCAAGTGGTGCAGTGACGCTTCCTAAAACCCGTAAATAAGCTGCGCATGGGTTCCCTCGACAAAAAAGCAAAGGGATTTCTAGGTATAAAAGTCACGGCTCGCTACTGCATTCAACTCTCATCTGATTGGTTGCACAGTAAACGAGGTCCAAGGTGAATTGCCAGGGCTTGGTGCGTGTGAGAACCCTGGCAGCTGAGTTCTGGATGTACTGGAGCCTGTCCAGGGTTTTGCAATAGTCCAGGCGGGAGCTAATGAAACAGTGTATCAGCTTCTCTGCAACAGAGTCGGAGAGTGATGGCCGGAGTCTGGATATGTTTCTGAGGTGGAAGAAGGCTGATTTTGTTACTGACTTGATGTGGTTCTGAAATGAAAGGGTTGAATCCAAGACAACGCCAAGATTGCGGACCTGAGGGGATGGGGAGATGATGGAACCGTCGATGCTGAGGAGCAGATCTCTAACCTTCCTGAGCAGTGCCTTGGGGGCCACAACCATGAGCTCAGTTTTATCACTGTTTAGTTTGAGTAGCTTGGTGGTCATCCAGGTTTTAATTTGGTGTAGGCAGTTGATTAGTGACTGAGGGGGAGATGGGGGGGAGATTCCATGAGCGGTATGCGCCGGCCTGTGCCTTTACCTTGGACTTCTAATAGAACTGCTCGGGTCTTGATAGATTGAGTGGGGAGGTTTATGAGATCTTTCTAGAGGGTTATCAAGAATAACTTTTATCCAATGACCTTTTCCCTCTCTGTCTGTGTCTGTGTATTCTCTTGTTCCGATTAACCCAGCCAAATCTTTTTTCTTGTTTTGTATCTATATCTACGCCGGGATCCGGAGTCGAGGCTGATCTTCTTGCTGTAGTCCTGTGTCCTGGATCCTCTATCCTGAGTTCTGGATTAAGTCGTGGACTTCGGGTCGTGGCTGAACTTGTCTCTGCGGTCCTGCCTTGGGTCTCGTCATGCTGCTTCCCTGATGGCTTCAACAGGATTGTAGCTGACATCCTCGTGGATTCATCTTCTTATTACAGACACATGCATTTCCTAACATTCGGTCTATATGCTGTAAAGTGTATTATCTCTTGGATTTACACACGGCATCTATTGCACGTCTGTCCGTCCTGGGAGAGGGATCCCTCCTCTGTTGCTCTCCCTGAGGTTTCTCCCATGTTCCCCTTAAACTGGGTTTTCTCTGGAAGTGTTTCCTTGTACGATGTGAGGGTCTAAGGACAGAGGGTGTCGTATTTTCTCATACTGATATTCTGAACAATCTGTGCTGTTGTATTTGCTGTAAAGTGTCTCTACTGTAGGCTATTTTTATTATATGTACAGCACTTTGGCTCGACCAAAAATTGTTTATAAATGTGCTATATAAATAAACTTGATTTGATTTGATGGGCAGCTTAAGAATAAAAAATGACATATTGACGTTCAAATAAATAGGTTATTCTGTAACGTCTCTGTAATGTAGAGAATCTCTGTCATCTAGAACTTTGAAAAGCCAACATGAACCATACAAAAGTATTAACTGTATCATTTAGGTCCACATTCATCTGACAGGAAATGAATGTCACAGCAGAAACAGTCAAACAACAAAGCAGTTGTAGTGATTCTATTTGCCAAACTAACACAAATTCAGCTTCTACTGTTCAGTGTCCTTTCAGTGCAGTCCGAGCAGGACTAGAAGCATGCAGGAGAATGGCAGGAGACTGAGTGGAATGGCAGTGAGGAACAGTAGCTCTACAGTCTAACATGCATTCAGTGCGTCAGTGGTTCTACGGCCCAGCAGAAGAGGAGAAAGTGTTCTCTGTAGCCTCGGTGAAGTACTCTGTAACTGCAGAACACTACAACACTGCAACTCAACATCTGCAGCATGGTAGCAATATGATGAATTGCAAAAGTTCTGCTGACACAGCAAATATTAATTACTTTAATTTGGGTGCATTTTTTCTTCAAGTGGAGCCAAAAGGAGGCTTTGAGAAAGAGACCGAGCGAGGATGCAGAGAAGATGCTCTCACCCAGTGCTGGACAACTACTCGGAAATGCTCGGAAACCATGCCCCCCACCCACCTTTAGTCACTACCATCAAACCATCATCAAACTCTGTATCAATGATGCGATGAGACCCTGCGCACATACACAACACACACACACACACACACACACACACACACATATTAGATAATGTAAGGTTCTGAGAGACATAAAAGAGAAAGCTCAGTAAAGTAAAGGTTAGCAAGATCACACTCACACACACTGCAGGTTCACAAACAGGGATTAAATCATACATGTATATTAATACACACAAAGCATGTTAAATACATAACCAGACATACTCTGTAGTTTCTTGCTGGGGCTGTCTCCGTGGACGTGTCTGCGCGGGAGGTACGGGGAAGGCTGGGGCAGAGGTATCGAGGACATGTCATGTGATTGGAGTTTGTACCAATGAGGGATATCGTCCAGCAGAGCTGTCTCCAACTCTATCAGGATCTGAGGACAGAGAGGCAGATGAGTGAGCAGAAGAGAAACAGTGGAGGGTTTCCACTGAGGATCATTTTTCAAGGGCGGAAAAAAAATGACAAAGGGTGCTCTGGTGACCTAGACGTTAAAGGCTAGGGGTACGTTCGTAAAATTGACACTCTGGGTCGTAGAACTCCGGACTGTTCATAAACTCTGAGGGTAGTTGGTCATTCAGAGGAGCTCACTCTTGGATCAGCAAAGTGTTCTCTATCATGTGCAGGAAATTAGTAGAAGTTTTGTAAAAATTACAGTATGTAAAATGTTTAGCTAGCTTACCTTTTCTCTAACTCCTAACGTTAGCTATAGCGTTTATCGGCATCTTAATAGTCTATAGGCTGTCATGACTCCTAATAATCGTCTCTTACATTATTATCCAAACTGATATCTTGAGATGCAAGTTTAAGGAAAGTTTTTCTTTCATAACCCATTTGTTAATTTATGTAAAAGTAGAATAATCTGTTTCTTCAGACAAGGTCGCTCTCATTTGATGTTGAGCATCAGAATGGATAAACGCACGCACCCTAAATATGCAATTGAAACATCCCTGTAACACTCTTCTCTACTATCAAATCCTGCACATAAGTGACACAAAGCCATATGTTAGTGTTATCAGCCCATGAAATGGCTGTAATCAATTGTTGTCAGAAAGGACACCCAACAGTAAGCCAGAACGGGCATATCCAACGTTAAGAAAGGGTTTCAGCTTGTTTAAGGTTGCAGCTTTTTTGCTTAGGATGGTTCGTAACGAGGTGAAATGACCCGGAAGTACCTAAGTAACAGCCATGATAAGAGCTTCAAACTCTTTAGATGATAAGGAATAAGCTTCGATGCTCTCCTTTTTATCTCCTTTAGCACTAGTTCATCCTAGAAGAATCAGGGCCGCAACCATTTGTGACTTGCTCCATCGAAATCAGTCGCATTGACCTGAAGACACATTTTGAGTTGTATACACTGTTGGAAAGAGGAGATTCCTAGCTTTCTAATGATATCAGGATTGTTTTTGTACTCCAAATATTAAGCAAAATATGTCACATTATATAATGACTGCACAGAGTCATCATTTTGAGAAAAAGGCCTTCAAAGTTTCCTCTTCTCTGGAATCCATCGATCTGATTGGTTATTAGCAAATGATCAAAGTAGTACGGAGGGAAGATATTTTCAGGGAAGCTCGTGTTATGGCAGTTATGGTATTAAAGCTTAATACAGTGTAATTCTAATGAAATGTAACAGCTGTATCCTGGAAAATTGTGTGATCAAATGTATTAGCATTGCTGTAAACTGTTTCTCTGATTAGGTCAAATCCTGGGAGTGACCTTTGAATGTGTGTGATAACAGATGTCTTTGCAAGGGGGTTTTATGACACTACAGGAAGAGAGGATGGGGTGGAAGGATTTTACGATTAGGGGTTATCTGTGTATCCCATTGTTCTTTGAGGGGTGTGAGTTTTAGCATACAGTACTGTGTCATGGGGGCAAACACCTGGCCTCACATGATGTTGTGTTGTCATGGGGGTTGTCTTTGAATGTTTCCCTATAAAGTAGCTGTAACAGAACAGAACAACACACTCTCTTTTGGAGGTGTCACTGCTTGCAAGCATTAAACGAAGATCTCAAAATACTTTATATAGATATTTTGTTTCTTTGCATATTTGCCTAACTCATCTTTTACTCTAAGACAGCAGCTGATTTTAAGTTGAGACGACATTTTGGGAGACTCGTCCGAGTTTGTCTGCTGTAGGATTGCTGTGAGGCGTACTCTCCAGGTACAACTGTATACAGCCAGCAATTTTGTCCTGGAGGCTAGCTTCTCCCTGGGCAGGGTAACTGACTGCAGGGAGGGGATCACGGATTCATTTCAGCACGACATCCCAAGGGAATACATTTAAAAAGGAGGTGAGAGCACAATATTTGTATCGGAAAGTAAAAATGTTGACTCGCTGAGGGCTGACGAGCTAATTAATGTTTGGTACATTAATCGAGTGTAACTAGAGTTATTGGTGGTGTTTGGTACACACAATAATTAACGACGTAAAAACAGTTTTGGTAACTAACAGTTTTGGTAACTGTAAGAAAGCGCTGTATAGAAGATAAAGGCCGGCTTTAGTAATTAGTAATATAAAAGATAAGTGATCACGCAAAGTAATAATACTAGTAATTATAATATTAGTATAAACGTAGGCCTACACTTGAGTCAATTTACATTTAGTGATCTGTTAACATGCTCTGCTGGGTTTTACATTAGTAACAGTGGGGATTTTAACCTATTGAAGATAAAAAAAAGTATGAGGGGTGTGCAAAAGTCATGTGCGACAAGTATGGGGCTTGGACATGTGATTATTTAAATGTAGGTTAAAAAATGGTTTTCCTGATAATGGCAGTCTTTAAATCATTTACTGTAGAAGAGTTGAGACTACGTTCAGCAAAACAAGGGGAATATAGAGAAATAGAGAGATAAGTGCTTAAAAAGAGGTTTGGATTCCTGATTTTGGTAATCAAAAATAACAAGTGGTTTACAAACCTAAGATTCAGAAGACAACCTTAAAAAAAAGTTTGGATTCCTGATTTTGGTAATAAAAAAAATGAAGTACTAAAGGCATTTGTAAAATGGAATACAGAGGCTATGATCAGGGAACATCAGAAAAAGAAACTAGAACAGGGGGGTGGATCAATTAAACCTCAGTGTGCTAGAGTCCTTCTAGATAAACTGGACCGCGACCTGGCCTTTCCCTCTGGTTCTCAAGTACAGAGCCCGACCCTCCTGATCTGGATGACGCTCAAGCCCTCCGCAGAACTCTTCATTCTCCTCCGCCATATGATGGACAAAAATCTGAATCAACAACAAGGCTGTGTGCAGAACACCATGCCGACAGAGATCTACTCTGCAACAGTCCCTCAGGGAAAGGGTGTGAAGCCCCTCTGGAAGCAGGTGTTTTAACCCCCGGAGGGCCACTTTCAGGCTGGGAACAATACGGGACAGGAAAGACAGTTGCATTTTGATGCCCATTGTTGACATTCTTAATCCTAGAGGCGATGTAAATGATGCAGGAATCACGTATGTTTTCCGTCCCTGGTCTCCAAGGGATTTGAGAGAAGCTATAAACAACCTGCATAACCCAGTTGAGATTTGGGAAGGACATTTGAAACCTGTCCTCACCTATGACCGCCCTGCTGGAAAAGCAATGAACAATGCTACTGAAGAATTAACGAAAAGAAAAGATAAGACTGGAAAGCGTTTGCAGACGGCACAGCTCCAGGCTTTTGAACAGCAGATTCAAAGGGGCAGAAGGACATCAAGTAGAGGAAGAGGCAGAGGGTCCAAAAGACAAAGAGGATGTTTCCGCTGTGGTTCATTGGAACATCGGATTAAAGATTGTATGGAACTGAAGGGAGGAGTAGCAATATGAAGAAGAAGAAGGTGGGACTGTTTTCAAGCCTGCAAGGTCACAGAGTGAGAGGAGGTCGGGAGCGCTGGGGCTTGAGATAACCAGAGGAGACAAGGAGCAAGGAACAAGGAACTGGAAATGAGTGAGTTTTGCACATAAACACACTTACTCACTAATGCACACAAAAAGGAACCACATTAAAGAACTTGAACTGGCTTGTTAAATATAAAACATTGTTTTATTCCGCAAGAATTAAGCAATCAAGCAAGTAAATTACAAATAGCAGAAAAGAGGATATTATTAAAGTAAAATAAACTTAAAACACACTGTAGGCACTGTAGGAGTACAGGGTAGAACATATTCTTTGATCTTTTCATCATATTGACCAATTATTCTTTTAAAGCTTTTTATTCATGTGTGAATTTGGAAGTGTTTTAATTTGTAAAAATATTGATCTAGTTTAAAGGGAGAGTTTATACCACGTGTAGATGCATATTCGGATTAGCAGTGGTTTGAGCATAGATATTACTAAGAGGGAAATAACTGTTGTCTGTAGTTCGAAATGCAGAGTTTTTAAAAAGACACTTTGGGCAAATAGGAATTACAAATTCAATTTAGAAGAAGCAATATAACTGGGAGCAAACCTGTGGGGCCCTTGGATCACTCATTGTAATGGTGCTTATTCTTGGCAACCGACATCTGTGGGGAGAAGGGGTCACTTTACCCACCCTTCAGTTGATTTCAAAAATCTTATCTACACCCTCCTAGGGAAGCATGCAAAGCACCGGTTTATGAGTTTAAAAAGACCAGCGCCACCACCTCCCAGTGGACATCCACTTAATTAGTGATGATCTGAAATGAGATGTTACGCCCAAATTGTGGGCTGATCTAAATGATTAAAACATACCTGCCATAGTGATAAACTCCTTAATTCGACTACAGACCATGTAAAATATAATTAGCCACACGAACAGGAAACCATAGATGGAATTACTCCTGTTTTTTTAAATCCTCATTGAAGGAAGGAGTAATTGTGACATGTTCAAACTTCCCATAGTTCCACACATTGCTTCGCGGTTAAAGGGATGAAATGTTTCTTTAAGTAGACCAGAATTGAAAATAAATAAATGTAATGAATTATGAAATACATTGCAGAGCTACACAGATCCTAATAATGTTTTGACTCAAGATAATAGTTATGTACACAAGTTTCTGAAATAGATCTATTAGATATTTTAATATAGATTAGGTGTTAATAAACTGCAGTAGTAGTACTATAAGGAAATGTGGGAAGCAGCTGTCCCAATGAAAAGTTAGAGCCATCTTAACAATTATAGTTGTAATTCTGAAGAAATAAATGATGGCTTTATATGCAGCATATGTCAGGCCTTTGTAGGCAAAGGATACGTGTCTATGCTGAGATATCTCTGAAAAGTCTCATGACACATGACCAAAAGACTGAGACCAAATGACCTTTGACCCTGACTGACAGTGTTACTTGACAAAAGCACTGTCAATGACTGACTCTGGGGTGAACCTGACCAAACCTGACTTTAAAACCAGGCAGTGTGAGTGTGAATGTCTGTCTGCATGTGATCAGTGTAACTGCATGATTTTAGAACAATGAATAACCAAGCATGTTTTGGACTAACACATGATGTTGGGGCTTTGTGGGAAACGAGAGGATTCCCAAAGTCCACGAGGTGGAAAACTGCACATACCGTGCAGGGCTTCTCAAACTCCGGACCAAGGTCCGGATCCGGACCGAACTGCAAATCAATCCGGACCGAACCCTGTGTCCCATTATAAAAAAAATAAGAACATTATAAAAAAATAAAATTATAAAAAATAAAATAAAAAAATCTGATTCTGATGTAAATTAAAGTGGACCTATTTTGCTATATTGGAAAAAATATATTGTAGGGCCATACCTATACAAATATAGGTCTGTGAAGTTTTTTGCTTAAAATACCGAACAGATCACCCATTGTAGCCATGCCTCATACTGCTCATACCCCTCTTTTGCAGCCCTGTTAGAGAAACGCGGATTTTGGTTCCTTAGGTTGAAAAAAAAAAAGAGGAGGTGGAGCTAATGCCTGATCAGAATTCTACCGGAGATAAAGTTAAATTCTGTTGTAATAAAACGCCATCCTGTTCTAAACCACATCAAGGATTATTTCTGAAACAGTATGGATCTCAAATGCTTTTTCTCTTGCAGGTTTATCACAAGGTGAGTTCCTTTTTTGATTTCCTGCTTTTTAAACACATGTGCTCTCCAGTACAGGTTAGCTCTGAGTGTTAGCGAGGCTTGCTAATGTAAACAAAGACGAGATTACGTCCAAAACACGTTCAAAACGCGTCAGGCATTGTTTCTGATAGCAATTTTCTGTGGGTCCGCTGCCGATTTGACGTCAGATTGGTAGCAAATCTGTATCCGCTCGTTGTACCCCTGTTTTTAAAAGATTTGGGTACGGAGGAAAAGAGAGCAGGTTTTATTTTCTGACGCTGCGTGAGTTCCCCGACGCACCGGGGACACATATTTATGTATAAAAGACATCACAAAGTGCATTTTGCATGATAGGTCCCCTTTAATGTATATTGTCTTGTGTCTGACGCGTTCTGAGAATGAACGTGCATATATTTACTTGTGTGCGCGAGTGTCACACACATTTAAGTTAACCACAAGTTTACCTTGACTTTCTAATGCTTCTAATGCCATTTTTGCCGAGGTTCAAGGCATTGGCTACAGACAAACAGTGCCATTTCTCCCACTAGTTCAAGCCATGATACTGTATGTATGTATGTATGTATTGAATGTCTGTGTGTATACAGGGGCACCGTTTACTGACAGGCAAGTGCTTGGACCAGAAGGGGGCCCCCAAATAAGGTAGATTAATCCAATCCAATCCAACTTTATTTATATAGCACTTTAAAACCTCCTGACTAAAGTACATGCATAGCGCTCCGAAACGGCTTCTTAATTTCAGTTTCGTTGCTCCGCTCCGGGGGTGTGTGGGGGGGGACTTTACTGGCATTGATCCGGACCATTGACCTTGTATAAAATTCACAAGTGGACCTTTAACAAAAAAGTTTGAGTACCCCTGCCGTACAGTATGCCATTTACTTCCACAGGAGGTGGAAATTCAAAGGTTTGGGGCTCAAACTACATCTCAAGATTCTGTTTTCTTTTAGGACTGATAAAGGAGAGAAACACGCCTTCTCACTGAAGTGTTTATTGTGGAAATAATAATGATTTTTTTTTCCTGCACAGGGTGTTTTTAGACATATGTTGATGTTAGTGTGAATATTAGTGTGAATGCTGAGCAACATTCAGTTTCTTTAATCTTCTTCTTATTTCACCAATATTTTGCCGTCGAACAACTTCAGCCTACTTTCAGCTACAGAAACCATTCAAATGTCAAAATATTCAGCCTTTTCAGCATATGATGGGAAACTTTCAATTTTTTCAAAATATTTTATACTTTTTGAAATATTCAGCTTTTTAAACTATGTAACTCAATAGGAGGAACCTTCAAATCCTCTTTTACCTACACCGTGCGCCAAATGCTACTCCTTCCACATATTACAGCTAGAGACTTCATTCCAACTTTAAAACTTTCAGCTATAAAAAGTATTCTTCAGATCTTTGATATTTTTTACACTTTTTGAGATTTTTAACTTAGTTTGGAGCTTGGTAAAGAGGCCTTCTTCAGATTTGAACATTATAGTTTATTATGCGCCGCTCGTTAAGTCATCTTCCCTTTACAAGCTTCAAACATGTATTTATCGTGTGATTTTGGAAATAAAAGTTTCATATTCTGAAAGCCAAGACTTTGTTTATTTAAAATTAACCAAAACACCCGAACCCGGAAAAACTATTTTTTCACGCAAATCCACGTTTATTTTGAAATGAGCCGTTGCGACTTCCGACTGATTTCGACAGAGCGGGTCACATATGGTCTAAATTTGACCAGAAGAACCGATTTTGACTGACACTTGCGGATCATCAGTTACGGCGCTTATTCAGCATTTTCCATCTTATGACATAACTGTGTCATAAATGTCGCCAATATGTATACGTCCCATAAGACAACATGATTAGAACACACAGGTAAGTATCTAGCTTTTAAGTCCATCCACGGAAAAGTGTAGTTTCACCAGAGCAGACCCAAATAAATAACATCTGCCGGCGTGTCATAACCACGTATTGCCAGTGTTTGCTTTTTACGTACACAACGTAACTTTTCTTATGTAGCTTTGTTAGTGAAAATAATTTGACTTGGTTTCACATGGGACACAAATGCCCCTTCCTTCCCACCTATCCTAAGCTGATTTGAATGATTGTCATACCCTAACTGTCACCAAAATCCCTTCTTAGCTCCATTTATAATAAATACTCCTACTGCGGGTCACAGACTTCCTGTAGTCACATTGGTAGGCAACCATGTGAATATGATAATGCTGTTCTGAACAAGACAGGCCCCTTCTAACCAATACCTTTGAATCTTATTACCTCTGACAATGAACACTTAATTGCGTGATACCATTATTAGCAGGGTCAAGGCTTTAGCAAATTGCTGTGATGATACAGCATAAACCTTATATGAAGCATTAGAGCATATAGCACATCCTGTTTCATGTTTAATCCAAGAAAAACACATTTATGAGCATTGTTATAAGGAATACATGTAATTTAACAGAAACAGTGAAAATAGTATACTGTTATGTGTCCCACCTCTCCTAAGAATTCACTCTCCTCCTCCTGGACCCTGGGCTGGTCCCAGACCGTGATCTCTAGCATGCGTTCTCTGAAGTCCCGCCGGTGAACGTGGGAATACAAGAAGGTCTGGTTCCACTTGGGCTCAGCATTCTTCTTCACTGTTTTAGTCCGTCGTTTACTCTTATCACTGTAACAAAGGCGTGTACACACAGAGTCTCAATGAATAGGGATAAGCATGTTTCTGAACAAAGACAGTACTTCTTTAAAATAACATGATTGGATGACAAGATAGAGGTTCCTCTGATAATATTCCTTATGTCTTTTATGATGCTCGTATGTCATTTGGGTAATTACTAGTGGTCTCCATCAATTAAAACATGTAATTGCGTTAATCAAAATAATAATCAGTTTTTAATACTAATATTAACTTGTTGTAAAGTGTGGTGTTATATTAAAGAAATTCATGACAAACTGGAAAAAGAGAAATCAGAAATGTTTCTTTTGTTTATTATATCATGATTATTGAGTTATTGGCATGAAGTCTGACAATTTTCATTTTGCTTTGCCTTTTTCACTGCCTTCCATTTCATGGTAAAAATCAATGCTAGAATTACGAGAGGCAGTTGGGGTCAAAAGTAATAATAATAAAAAGTAATCTAAACAATTTGCGTTTTCTTTAACATAGTAAAGTTCAAATTAATCGCAAACGTTAACAATGACAGCACTAGTAATAACTGGTGGACTGCACATGGGAGATGGACCTTCACATTAAAGACATTAGCCGCATTCACACCGCAGTACTTTCCCTGAGGCAAGATTACGCTGACGTCACTTCGTCTTCTTCTTCTCTGGGTTTACTGGCAGGCCGCAAAACCACTTCACGGCGAGTACAAAAAAAAACGAGAGAAGAAGAACTACACGGGGGAGGGGGTATAAAGCCCACCAGCTGTATGAGGCGTTTGTTTACTTTCCGACCTCAGACATGATGGAGTTCATAAGGGTAATTTACAAATAAAATACCCCATTATAACAATGGACTTTATCTTTATGTATTTATTATATATTACCCCCTCAGGCTGATTTTGGAAAAGGACATTAACCCTTGTTTGGTGTTTTTCCCTTATTTATCTCAAACAAATGACATGATAAATGACTTATGTTTATGTGTGTAAGACTTGTGTTTCTGCCCCTGCCATTGCTGCACAAGGTTGCAACATTGTAGATACATTCAACCACCGACACCTGTCTGCTCTCACATTCTTCTATTCTGCACATTTGGGGTGGGACACAATAAATAAAGCTTCGCCAGTTTGTTTGTTTTATTGCACAGTCAAGACATAACAATAACGGCATCACGCTGTTCCAGGTGTGTCGTGTGCATGTGAATTGAAGTTAAATAAAAGTGTGAAATGTAAAATAAAGTGTAAGTAGTTTCAAAACAATGTAACAGTGGCAATATATATAGCAGCAGACACACCTTAGTGCAAGTTAGGTGTCAGTATTAAAAAACAGTGGCAATATATATATATATAATAACAATAGAAAATCGTTACCACTCTTATTATTGTGGTCTTTAATTTTTTTATAGTCCTGCCTGAGTTTCTTTATTTTTACCCGGCATCCTTGTCCACTGTGCACGATTCCCAGCTCAAGTAGCTTTTGCGAACATCGCTCAAAACATTTGGAGTTGGGAACTGCTTTCTGTAGAAGCTGCTGCATCCCGTCCTCAGAGTAAATTGCCAGAAGCGCCGACACTTCCTCATCATTCCACCGCTCCGGTGTTGTAGTACGTGTGGTCATAACTGCTTTAAAGTACAAAAAAACTACTCGCTCAGGTGTGGATGTGGTTTTGTAGCGAGGAAAAAAATGGCTGCCTAACAAAAAAAAATCAGAGTCTAACGGAGCATGGTTTGCAATTCGCCCAGCCAATAGAAATATAATAGAAATTGGCACTCTTTTATCACCAGGTTCGTACCACCTCTCTAGCAGGGACTGAAAATGGCCAAAAGAGTTCCCGGCACTGAGTAGTCCCGGTGGTGTGAACGCAACATTATTGGTACTAACGGAACTAAAGAACCAAAGTACCAGGGAAAGTCCTGCCGTGTGAATGCGGCTATTGAATATAAAGTACCTACCTCCTATCAGGCAGGAAGTACATCTTGACATAGGGGTTCCGAGGTCGTCCGTCTGGTCGGGTTGGCAGGTCTATGGCTTGAAGGACGTTGACGATCAATTGATGGCCCACTTTGTCGTACCACAGCTTAACCTGTAAACGTGTGAAGACCGTAAGCCTCTATCCTGTACATATACAGCAAGTATGCAAATGCATGAAACCCATACTTCATATTCAGGCTTGGGATAACGTTAGCTAGATACAAATAAAAAGGTACTTGGATTCCGTTACAGTTAAATAAAAACAAGATGTAATCAGAGTACAGTTACATTTCTAAACGTTTAGAAATTGCTAGGAGGATTACAATGTAATATCGTGGTGTATTCTTTCATAGAGACACATTGTTATGTTGTCTTACATAATACATTTAAGTACAAAAAACCTCATTGATATTTCTCTTTTCTCTTGGATTATTTTGCATTGCATTTGATATTGAGATAATCCAAAGGTTAGAGAAAGTAATCAGGTTTATATGTTGATTTGGAGATTAGGGAACGGGCTTAGGGTAATTGTAATAGGGGTGCAACAACTAATCGACTTAATCGATTAAAATCGATGACCAAATTAGTTGCCAACTAATTCGGTCGTCGATTCGTTGGGTCTATGTTGTTACTTTCTGTTTGCGGAGCTGGCTACGTCACTCGAAGAAAAAAAAACATTCGAAAAATGGTGGAGGCCTAGAGAAGCACGGTCCGACTAAAATCTTCAACAGCGTGGGAGCACTTCTCTTTAAACAACAGTAAAAAGTGTGTAAAAAAACACCCGATAAAGATCCCCCCGTTTCGCGTCAGTCTCTGTGATCATACTGTCGGTGTTTTTTTTCTTCCATAATGACCGGCTCGCTGCATATTATCCGGCTTAAACTATGCCAATTTATTGTCTGCACATTTGCAGAAAATAGGTTGGGTTGAGACACTGTGTGCTGTATGTGTGTGTGTAAGAAACTGTAACTGCAGAGACAATCTACCTATTTGTTGTAGCAAAGCCTGTTAACACTTTTTGTTTGTGATTCACAATTTTATTATAATTTTTTTATAATATAAAATGTTGTATAATGTATTATTATTTATAACAGCTCAGGTCCATTAAAGCATTTTCTTTTTAAAACAGTTAGGTTAGTTATCATTGTTGATCATTTGAAAGAACATTGTTTTAGTTGGAGCAACCTAAAGAGATATATTTTTTGTTCAAAACAAGCTGTTATATAGCTTTTGCATATGTTTTAAAGACTACATTTGGGTTGTTGATGTTGTCAATTTGGAAATGCAGTTTTCTGAATAAAATAATGGAAAACGTTTTTTTTGTCGCGTTTTTTATCCAATTCATCGATTCATCGTAGAAATACTCTACAGATTAATCAATTATCAAATTAGTCGTTTGTTGCAGCCCTAAATTGTAATGGAATACATTTTTAAAGTAACTCCTCCCATCCCTGCTGCTCTTTCAGATACTCACGGAGAGCTGTCCAGGCAGTACTACAGGAAGGTCTCTGAGGGTCCCAGGGCTGGTCGGGGACATCACCGATATAGAGGGTCGGTCCATCTTTTGCGACTCAAAGGAACTGGAGCCTGCTGTTATAGATGACAGTTGTTGTTAGAAATCACAGAGAAAGCACAACCTTCTTGTCATCCAACGGTCAAATTTGGCCTGTTTCTCAACCCATAATTAAAAAGTTTTTCATTTTTTTTACTCGAAAAATAAGGTTCAATTGAATTCTTACTGCCTATGCTTAACACTGGATTGTATCCATCTCACGCATGCGCAGGTCGTGTATTTAATATCAACAAAGTCACATAGCCAGCCCCGCCTATATAGAGTAATAGTTGAGAGAACTATTACACCAAAGAGCCCCGCCATGGTAAAGCCCCAGTAGGTTAGGGTTAGGGTCATTTTGACTCTAGTATGAGTCTGGGGAGCTTCTTTTCTGGTGAGTGCTTTTGCTCAGAAGTAACCTTTTATCTCCCTCTCTGGTTCTCACTGATGGAGACAACCAGTCCATTGGGACAGGCGCATCCATGGCCAGATTGGCCCCTTTATGCATTTCCACCGTTTCCGCTGATAGGGGCAACTCTACACAGGGTTCACCGAGGCAACCACAGGCTTCTGTTGGGTGCCCCAAACTGGCCAGGGAGACTCTGGTTTCCAGCGATGTCCAGGCTACTGGAAGGAGATCCATGGTGCCTGCCCAGGAGACGGGACTTGGTCCTGGAAGCCCTCCTTTCCCCACCCTTTGAACCTCTGGAGCAGGCAGAGCTTAAATGGCTTTCGGCAAAGGCCGCTTTTAATTTAGCGATGGCATCAGCCAAGCGTGTGAGTGAGCTTCACGCCTTGTCAGCGAGTGAAACGTGCATAGGCTGGTACTCAGGTGGAACAGGGCCTAACACATATTTTTTATCAAAGAGGCTGCCTTCGGCCCACTTAAATCAGGTCATAGAGGTAGCAACTTATGACTCCTCAGGCTTGCAGAACGTGGATACTGGATTCGTCGTGACTATGTTGGTAATAGTCCTCCAGTGTTAAGCACTGCCTCTGGCAGTAAGTAAGAATGAAATAGAACGATAGTTGCGTATGTAACTATGGTTCTATTCATTCTGGATGACCGCCGGAGTTCTCTGTCAATCGGAATCTTGGCGAGAAGATACCTTTGGGACATTTCTGACAGTGACCTGGGCTGATATGAGCGGGGCTGCCCTACGTCACCCCAGGTCACGTGTGACTTTGTTGATTTTAATACTTGACCTGCGCATGCACGAGATGGATAACATCCAGTGTTAAGCACTGCCTCTGGCCATCATCCAGAATTCATAGTTACGAATTCATAGAACCGTAGTTACATACGTAACTATCGTTTTATTTTATGTCATTAAAGATCATACAGCTCATATTAACACTTACTAGATTCTAGAGGAGGGTGGGAGGACTCTGGGATTCTTGGGATGTCGCTGCAAAAAGTGAATAAAAGACCCAGTGAATTCTCCAATTTCAAATACACAGAATAAACAGAATTGCAATGGAAAAACACAGTTAGGACTTTACATACATCTTTGGAAAATGAATGGATAAGATTTAAGGAACACACAATGGTAGAAGAAGGTCGAGCAAATAGACATTTACATGTTAAACACACTGGGTAATTTGGGTATGATATGTTGAAAAAGTGATTTATTTTTCTGATTTCAGGATGTCAGGGAAGGCATGAAGGAAAGGGGCTCCAACATAGGGCTCCACCCAACACTACTTACTGATAGGCTCTATACACTTTTCTCAAGAAGTTTTTGGACATAATTCGGTTGATAGAGCTTTGAGATAAAGGAAGAAACATTTTTAAAAAGTGTCTGTTATTGCAGTCACTCAAGTACTTTAATGATAGTTATTACATGTTGTGATGATAATCTTACCCTATAGGCCTTGAAACAACTATTTCCACTTGAGGTTCAGCCTTGGATTCAAGGATAATGTTGTACACTTCTTTCTTTGTTGCTCCCGGCAACGACTTTCCATTCCACTGCAACACCTCGTCACCTGGAACCAAGATGGCCAACATACAGAATGATGATTCAGCATGAGGCTCATTTGGCACCACATTTCACTGGATACATCCATGTCATAACAGAGAATTGTATAACTTAAAGGCAAAAGGGATTGAAATTCTTCTCACTTTTGATTTTAGGTTGACATACTTAGTTTGAATTTAAAAAGATACATACAAGACACTGTGAAATGTATTTTGTTCACGGTTCTATACATAAGTAACACAGATGGGGATTCAAGTTTGGTTGAAGAGTCGCAGAAAGTCCTGTAAGAGGTCTCTAGCTCAAAGACTTGACTCAAACTGTAGTTCCAATACTTGGAACTTTACTTGGACTTTAGATCAAAGACTTAAGACTTGATCTGGACTGTAGTTCAACGGCTTGGCACTTTCCTTGGACTTTGGATCAAAGACTTAAGACTTGATCTGGACTGTAGTTCAACGACTTCCGGCTCGACTTGGAATTTACCTTAAAATACCTGCAACTTGACTTGGACGCTAGCTCAAATAACTGAGACCTGATTTGGACCTGACCCTCAAAGACTTTAGACTTTTCTTGGACTGTAGCTTCAAGACTCAATAATTGACTTGGACTCAAGTTTAAAGACTTTGAACTTGACTTGGAATCTAGCTGAAAGACTTAAGAGTAGATTTTGGCTTACTGCTCAAAGACTTGAAACTTGATATGGACTTTAGTTTTAAGACTTCCTGACTTGGATTGAATTCTAGCTTCAGACTTGACGTGGAATATAGCTCAAATATTTTAGCGATTGACTTGGACTGCAGATAAAAGCTTGATACTTGACCTAAAGTCTACCTCAAAGACTGAAGAGTTGATTTTGAATGTAGCTCAAAGACTTGAGACTCGTCTTGGCATTGACCCTCAAAGACTTGATACTTGACTTTGATACTAGTTTTAAGACTTGAAACTTGACTTGGACTTGAATAAAAGGGCTTGTGAGCATCTCTGATATGTGGTGATGGCTTCAAGACGTGTCAAAACTCACAGCAATGGGTTGTCCTGTAACCTCTGCACTCTGTACGTTAGGCTACAACATAAGTCTAATCACGATTCTGAGTAAGATAGGGGTTCTCAGCGATGGCTAACAATGTCAACCCACAGACTGTGTGTCTGTTGACAATGAACCATTGTTGGTGTCCACTCCTGGATAAATATGAATTATATAACCTTGACTTGCTACCCTACATAAGGTACAAAAGCAGCTGCATAAAAACAATATGTTCGCACCCGCTCGTAGGTGTCCAACAACATCTGCAAGGCTGCCTTTCTTGACTTTGGTGATGAAGGCCCCAAGTCTCCCCATCTCTGTCATCTTCCCTCCTACCACCTTGGGAGAACGGAGAATGCATAAGAATATTAGTTTATGTCTCCAGTTCTCTGCAGGATTCAGTAATTGCTTAACATACACATTTGTTTCATGGAAAACTCTTTACCTTTTTAATTTGTCTTGCCAAGCACGACATACAGCTAACAGATTTTCAAATGTTACTTTTTCCAATTATAACTACTCTAGCACTAACAAACACAAATAAGGTATTTACAAGCAAGATTCAGGTGTGAATGTGATCAATTCTATGCTTACTTTCAGGCCGAGGAGAGAGCCAGCCTCACGGGGCATTGCCGATCTCTTGCTCAGCGTGATGCGTCCGATCAGGTGGTCACCCTCTTTGGATGGCTGCCATGTAACTGGATGCTACAGGAAACGTTATGAGGCAATGTGAAAGGGGGTATGGAAAGACATAAGGAGAAGAAAGAGGAGGAAAGCAAATGTTTTAAGTCATTGGTTAATTTTGTATTGTTTGGATTTCATTTGTATCAATGCATTTAGGAATAAATGCATTTGTTTGGTTCTGTGCATGAGTAACAGTAAGAACTCAGGACTGAGGCAGTTTATTTATGTTCAGAATTTGTAATGTTTTTGCTGAAACTTACATGCCACACTGTAGGATCTAGAGAATGACAGTCCCAGTCACCTGCACAGAGAAAGAGAAGGAGGCGTTATTTGTCCTGAAAGATATTGACACAGATTGGGGTGATGATGACGACAGGATGAACAAGTCCGGAAGAAGGCTAGCTCTGTAGTTGGACTTAAATTGGATAATCTGAAGAAAGTGGTGGAGCGGAAAGAGAAAGATGGACGCATCATGGAAAACCCCTCCCACTCCACAAATTCAGCCAAGGACTCATCCCTTCGTCAAAGTGTCTTGGACAATCCTTTGTACCAGTAGCCATCACACTCAACAATCAAGGATAAACCGCTTTCCTAACGTGGTCATTTCCTTAAACATAGTATAGGGATGGCTAAAGATGTAGTCCATTTGGCAGCAACCATGTAACCAGCACCACCTTGACAAATATATGTTTTAATTTGTGCACCAATTAAACCTTGAAATAACAGCTTCTTGCTTCTTGCACTTCTTGAACTTGGTGAGCGGTGCAACTTCCAATGGGAAGTAGGACTTAACCAACCTTAACCCAACTATTTCGCAGTCATATTTGATTGATAAAATACTTTTTGATGTGCTCTACCTCTTGTTCTTGTGATTTAGAGTTTAGTTTATGTGCAGAATATGTGTTACTAAAGTAACGCTAACTGCTAACTGAAGCTAACATTAAACGCTGAGAGACTGTTATACATTTTCATTTTTGTCTTCAGTTATTGTATTTTTACTTTTTTCAAATCTTGGTGGAATATGCAAATAGGAAAATACACTTAAAATAAGTCAAAAAATATCTTTATAAAATCCAATGATGTTATGTATGGAGCATATATCTGCATAAGAAATCCTTGGGCTTTGTGTTTACTTACATATTATACCAATTCCACAAGGTTACTCGGTTGGTAAAAGATAAATAAACAGATATTAATACGTAAACAACTCTGCTTTTTTGCTGCTTGAAGTATATTGCTCAAGAACAACAAACTGCTGGTAGAATTTTAAAAAAATAAAGGAAATGATTTGCAATATCACTTTATGTTCACATCAAATAAAGCACTAATACAAATATATATAAATCATATCTACATTTAAAAGCGGATGTGTCTACCTCTACACTCTTTTAACCTACCAAAAATATCCTTGAGTGATACAGAAATATATATATTTTGCATCCCTATTATACCTCCTTAAAATGCAATCCTCTTTCGTACATAATGTTAAATGGAGTAAAAAGACTCAAAAAGCAAACATGCTACTATGAAAAGCCCATACAAATTGCATTAAAGTAAGAATAAAATTGTATTAAAAATCTACTGATTCACTGCTTGTGTGCCTGTCCATAACTCATGCCAGAGCCTGGCGGTGGATAAAGACACCAGTGACTGAGAGAGTATCCCCACTCTCATTAACACGGACAGATGGTGGGCTCAAGTGGAACAGACCAAAGAAGCCTGTGAGATTTATGGCCACTCTTCCACCACAGGACTAAAACAACAGTAGATGACATCAGACTGGGATTTAAAGCACTCTGAAGAACTTCATATTCAAGGTTACTAAAAGGTTTTCACCTGGCACGAAGGCTGCGCTCCGTCAGGATCAAACCCTCCCGGTCACACCCTTTAAACCTCCTACAGTATAGACACTTTGTGTTCCAGTACGCACATCTTGTGAGCCTTACTGTAAAAATGATTCTGTATATTTTTCCTTTCTCTGTATAATGCTACATCTTTAAAACTGCACAGCTCTTCCACTTCTAAATTCTGATATAGTGCACATACAGTAAATGTATGATTTACTTACTGCACTGTTTTCCTTTTTCTTTGTTATATTGTTAATATTTTTCCTTTTTTGTATTTTACATTTTTAAATGATGAAATCTGAACTAGTATGAGAAGACATGGCTCCAGTGCTGCTAATCTGAAATCTGAAAGTCCACGGAGAATGCTTGAGAGGATAAATGCTGACTCCACAGTTTGAAATGCTGAGTCAGGGCTTTTGGTTTTGGAGAATGAACATGCTGGGCAGATTACAAAATATGTGCTGCTCTTCTTCCAACTGATGCTGCGTGAAAGCATCCGCTCCTTGCAGGTATATATATTGCTATTTTTATCATCATCACTAAAATGAATAAACTCAACAAAGCTAGCATTTACCATACAGGTTATTTTATTTATTGTGTTTATTATTATTTTTTCTGGGGTTGTAAATATGAATACACTTGTGGGAAACAAAGTGGACTGGTTTCATTTAAAGGTCCCGTGTCATGGCCATTTCTACTGATCATAATTCCATTGTTGAGGTCTACTAGAATAGATTTACATTGTTCAATGTTCCAAACTCACATTGGTTTCTCAGCATCTCTGTATAGTCTGTGCATTCACTCTCTGTCCTAAACAGCTTGTTGGAGCTCCTGCCCCCCCCCCCCCCTCCCTCCCTATAAGCCCACTGCGCTCTGATTGGTCAGCTCGCCCACCCTGTACTGATGAGTCCACCACCGTTACAGCTAAACATCAGTGATTATGTGTTACAATGGCGTTTGTTAGCAACCAGAAAATGACACCAGTAATGAGAAACAGATGAGAATGCTGCGTGGGGTCTGGGTGCCGTGTTGGCGGGACGTTGCGAGGCTCGCTGCTGCGCCCTTTGGGGCTCGAGGAGCAGACAGTGTGAGCTGGGTTACTGGTGTCGTTTCCTGGTTGCTGCGTGGGGTCTGCGAGACAGCGAGACACCGCGGAACTCAGCCTGAGCACACACACACACACACACACACAGCCAGGCTGTGTATGGAGATCCGCAGAGAGAAAAGATAAGGCTGAGTGAGTGTGGAGCTATTACGTCACTGTCTATGACTGTTACGTCACTGTGACCAGGAAGAAGAAAAAAATGGAAAAAGAGAAATGTCCAACGAGGCGTTCTGGGGCAGCATAGACAGGTATTTCCTGTGTTAGAGTTTTACTCGCTACAGGGTGTACTTTGAGGGTTTGTGACTGCAGACCGTTTACATGCAGAAAAAGCTACATAACACACAAGGGGACGGGTAATAACCGGAAAAGCATTCCTTTAATAAACACTAATTACAGTGGGGCAAACAAGTATTTAGTCAGCCACCAATTGTGCAAGTTCTCCCACTTAAAAAGATGAGAGAGGCCTGTAATTTTCATCCTAGGTATACCTCAACTATGAGAGACAGAATGAGAAAGAAAAAAAATCCAGAAAATCACATTGTCTGATTTTTAAAGAATGTATTTGCAAATTATGGTGGAAAATAAGTATTTGGTCAATAACAAAAGTTCATCTCAATACTTTGTTATATACCCTTTGTTGGCAATGACAGAGGTCAAACGTTTTCTGTAAGTCTTCACAAGGTTTTCACACACTGTTGCTGGTATTTTGGCCCATTCCTCCATGCTGATCTCCTCTAGAGCAGTGATGTTTTGGGGCTGTCGCTGGGCAATACGGACTTTCAACTCCCTCCAAAGATGTTCTATGGGGTTGAGATCTGGAGACTGGCTAGGCCACTTCAGGACCTTGAAATGCTTCTTACGAAGCCACTCCTTCGTTGCCCGGGTGGTGTGTTTGGGATCATTGTCATGCTGAAAGACCCAGCCACGTTTCATCTTCAATGCCCTTGCAGATGGAAGGAGGTTGTCACTCAAAATCTCACGATACATGGCCCCATTCATTCTTTCCTTTACACGGATCAGTCGTCCTGGTCCCTTTGCAGAAAAACAGCCCCAAAGCATGATGTTTCCACCCCCATGTTTCACAGTAGGTATGGTGTTCTTTGGATGCAACTCAGCATTCTTTCTCCTCCAAACACGTCTAGTTGAGTTTTTACCAAAAAGTTCTATTTTGGTTTCATCTGACCATATGTCATTCTCCCAATCCTCTTCTGGATCATCTAAATGCTCTCTAGCAAACTTCAGACGGGCCTGGACATGTACTGGCTTAAGCAGGGGGACACGTCTGGCACTGCAGGATTTGAGTCCCTGGTGGCGTAGTGTGTTACTGATGGTAGCCTTTGTTACTTTGGTCCCAGCTCTCTGCAGGTCATTGACTAGGTCCCCCCGTGTGGTTCTGGGATTTTTGCTCACCGTTCTTGTGATCATTTTGACCCCACGGGGTGAGATCTTGCGTGGAGCCCCAGATCGAGGGAGATTATCAGTGGTCTTGTATGTCTTCCATTTTCTAATAATTGCTCCCACAGTTGATTTCTTCACACCAAGCTGTTTACCTATTGCAGATTCAGTCTTCCCAGCCTGGTGCAGGTCTACAATTTGGTTTCTGGTGTCCTTTGACAGCTCTTTGGTCTTGGCCATAGTGGAGTTTGGAGTGTGACTGTTTGAGGTTGTGGACAGGTGTCTTTTATACTGATAACAAGTTCAAACAGGTGCCATTAATACAGTTAACGAGTGGAGGACAGAGGAGGCTCTTAAAGAAGAAGTTACAGGTCTGTGAGAGCCAGAAATCTTGTTTGTTTGTAGGTGACCAAATACTTATTTTACCGAGGAATTTACCAATGAATTCATTACAAATCCTACAATGTGATTTCCTGGATTCTTTCCCCCCATTCTGTCTCTCATAGTTGAAGTGTACCTAGGATGAAAATTACAGGCCTCTCTCATCTTTTTAAGTGGGAGAACTTGCACAATTGGTGGCTGACTAAATACTTTTTTTCCCCACTGTAATTAGTGTTTATTAAAGGTCCCATGTCATGCTTTTCCGGTTATTACCCGTGATTGTGATTCATTGTGACAAGATTTCTCCAAAAATTATAAAAGCATATTACAATGTAAATAAAAACTAGGTTTGCTCCGAAAAGAAAACCTGTTTCCACTTCAATGCATCAGTACATACAGAACACTAAAGTTCAACTCAAATCATACTAATTTTGGCAAATGTAGGAATATCTCAAACACAAACCCACCTACACACACACACACACACATACTCACAACCCACAATAGAGGCTAAAATGCACAAGGACAGTGTCATCCCAACAGCAGACGTCTTCTCCCATTTTCTAGGAACCATTATCACCTTAGTGCTCTTCTTTACACCAAAGAAGAAAGCCAATTACCTGGATCACTCTCTGTTTCTATTTCAAATCACAGAGTCAGACCTGCTGTCATTAAAGTCCCAGAGACACCCTTGTATATCCGGTGGGTCCAAATAGGAACCACAATGTAAACACTGTTAACAATGATCCTGCTAAGAGAATTTGTGGAACATATACACAACTGTTTCTGCTGGAAAATATATAATATCCTCCTATGTCCGTGCTTTAAAAAAATGTCTTGTAATCGCTTGTAATCCGAGCTATGTGCACGCAGTGGCTCGATGCTCTGCATTAAACTCATGTAGTGAACGGCATTTCAAATATAGTTGACATAATGAGTCAGGGTATGTTGTAAATTATGAATCTTGTAAATGTCCTGTTTAACTTTAGATTTTTTTTACAAAAATATAAAATAAACTAATGCTGTATACACTTTACACTATACACTGGCCTTATTGTTATTACGATCTGTTGATGATGACTTGGGGGAGTGGAGCCATTAAGCTTTTTTATGTTGACAGTTCAACCAGTGGAATGTGCACACTGCCAATTCTGCTGTTATAGCTCTTCACCTTATGCATAGCTCAATATTAAAGAAGCCTATGCTTATCTGTAAGACAGACACTTAATCATTTGATACAACATAGATATTTGTGCTTGCTTTATAAAACAGTTACCACCAGGTTTTACTGTAAACATTACATTACTTGTTAGACGCTTTTATCCAAAGCGATTTACATACATTCAGTACTGTGGACAATCCCCACAGGAGCAATTTGGGGTGAAGTGTCTCAGGGACACAACGACATGCTGACTGCAGTGGGACTCGAACTTGCTACCCCCCTGATTCAAAGTCCAGCACACTATCCACTGAGCCACAGCCACCCCAGCATGGTATCACAGCAAGTTTTTATTATTTGGTGTTTTTATAATGTTCTGTATACGGAGCCACCTAAAGCTGCAGCTGGGAACTATATTAAAAAACAAGATTAGGAATAACGTGTTATATTTGCTAGAACTATGCTTTGCTGTCAATATATCTTGAAATTTAAACATGAAACAATTCATTTGTGAAAATCACATTCTACTGCTTTCATTTGCTTTCAACAGTACTACAAATCCAAAGTCATCTGACTCAATAGTAAGATGTCAAATATGACTTAAAGGTGGGGAAGGTAAGTTTGAGAAACCGGCTCGAGATACACTTGTTGTTATATTCCATGGAATGCTCTTAACATCCCGATAGCAATGAATATCTGAAGTGCTTTGACAACAAATCCATAAAACATGTCATCTGTGGAAGCCGTAGTACTGTAGAAAGTACGACCAATCATCTGAGCCGGCTAAAGTAACTGGATGGCCTAACTGCCTGTCAGCCTTCCATCTGTGCACAAACTTATCTCGTGCCCTCATTGGTCATGTGTGCGTCCGTGTGTGTTGAAGGAGGAGCTCTGTAAGGAAGTGGCAGATTTCTCCCGGCTGTGTATTTTCAAATTCTAGCGCACTCCAGCTGGTTTCTCCAACATTACCTACCCCACCTTTAAGTGTTTTTAATTGATATGTCTACAAAAGTAATGTATGAGTGGTGGGATAAAAACAATGTGACATTGTGAGAGGGGTCTCAGAGAGTGGAGAGCCTACAGAGATGTATGTTGAACATTTTATTATAACTTTATTTAACCCTGTCAGCCCTTTCGTATGTCTCTCAATATAGAATAAAGAGGTGTTTACTGCTGGATCTGCTTGTACTCCAGGGTTGCCAACTCTCACGCATCAGGCGTGTGACACACGCTTTCACTCTCAATCTCACGCTCTCACGCTGCCCAAACTATTCTCACGCCAAAAACAAGATGAACCGGCGATCGTTTTTGGTTGGTTATAATGTTGAGTTGACAGCTGCTCAAGCTGTCGATCCGCCCCCACCACTCTTAACAACGTTAACAGACAGCAGAGCAGTGGGAGCCGGTTGGTCAATCCCCGACCCGTATTGCGCATGCGCAGATCTAAGATCCAGTAGAAATGATAACATGTAAAAGTCTGCTGCTTATTGTTCTACTAGGCCAAAATAGAGTCAAAGAGTATATGAGAGTGAGAGTGTGTTAATTAATATATTTGGCAGTTTGGAGTAAGTCTGTAGATTTGTTTGTGTGTGTGTTTCATGTATAGGCCTCTCACGATAATTAATTTTGTTGGATACATTTTCCCAGAAATTATTGCGATAAACGATAATATTGACCATTTTAGACCACTGACATAATGATAATATATAATAATAATTCAAGTACATCCTTTCAAACTGCTAGTCACATCCTCATGTAAATGGCAATTTATCGAGTTCATTTTTATTGATCGTATGATAAGTCAATTCATTGCTTATCGTAACAGGCACACAATAAAACAGTGGAAAACAAACGTGTGTTTGACTTTCATTAGTGAATGAAACTGTGTGCCCTTTATAGTCTGTGTCCAATATTGTGTATTTGTATATATATCCCATATATATGCTAAGGTCCCGCTGCTGACATGATAGCAGTCATTTAGTGCATATGTGTAATTAAACCCATGATATCAAAATCTCACCAGCCAGGTACCCCAAGTTGGCAACCCTGTTGTACTCAGAATGGTGACATTTCGTTCTAAGCTTTTCACCAATTAATACCATATTTAAGATGGTTTTACCATTGATTCCAAATAACGAGAAAGGGATATCTCAACACTGAACAGATGGACAGCCGTTGTAACTGGTTTGAAACCAGTGCTTTCTGAGGTGGCCAATGCAATAACGTACAGAGTGCTGAAGCACTCTTTACTCAGACTCACAGACTCTTGCTGAGTGCTTGTACTCTGTTATTCTCAGTCCTTCATGCAGAAAGCTTGTTTGTAATAAAATACTCACAGATAATTTATTGAGTACATTCACTTCATATGAATAGCATCATGTATCTTCTAATCGCATTTCTGCATCACAAAAGCTAGATATTTCCCTCGGCTTTGGACACCAAAACTAAGTTAAAAGGCCCTGAATGTGGCACGCACAACTGAATGCTAATGTTGCTCTAACAGAGAGAGAAAATAGGCGCTGCAGCACAAGCTGTCAACATGTGTTTAACATTAAGCATTTAAAGATTCTAGCAATAGCTCAAAATACAAATATAGACCAGAAAATGTAATCAGCTGACATCAAACCCAATATGTAAACATTGAATGAAATGCCATTTATTCTAAACGGGTGATTGAAACAGACCTCATGAAACATCTAAAAAAAGACCAGGTCACTTAACTTGATGCATCTATATAGAGAAACATCTTGCACATTATCCAGCAGCAATTGCTTTATGCCACAGAGGAGAGCAATAAGAGACATCCTGTTGTGAGGCCCAGCTAGCTAAAGAGTGAGCTAATAATCCCAATCCACACCATCTACCCATTACCAGTCCCTGAGTTATAGTAATCTGGATTAAAACATCTGGAACAGGCCCTTTCTGTGACTAGTGAGATAGATAAACTGACTGCAAACTCTACCTACTGCCTCTGGAACTGAGACCTGTTCCCGTGGCTTGTCGTACAGGCTAGCATCGCCTCGCTAACAGCTGTGAGCTGAAAAATGCAAAGGTATCCAACCAGCGGTTGCGATGCAGCATGCAACCACAGCCAAGCTTGATTTCAGCCGGTGGTCCATGGTTGGCTGGTGCAGCTGGCTGTTTGCGAAGCTTTACGTAGCATGCGAGCCACTGACCTAAATCCACAAATCTGCTGGTCTCAATCACAGGAACTCTCCAAATAAATGAGAGCTGTCCTGGGAGGAGCCGGGTTGAGCCACCGCACAGGGTGTAGATGACACACAGTGATAGTAATTCACTGTGTGCTGGGTGGGTGCTTCATCCTATCACTTGTCATATTGTTTTACACTAAGAAATTAGAATGTGCTCGTATGGTCGTATGGTCTTACGAGTCGAAATATCTCTGCTTTTTCACACAATATCGTAATTCCACTAACAAGGCTATTTTAGATGCCACGGTTAGGGAAATGTTAACGTGGGAAAGGGTAAAAAGGGTTTATTATGTTGTTTTACAATGATTTCATGTTTTTAATCTATCCTTAACATGTCTGTCTGATCATGTGTCTAATCTTTCTAGCTTTCAAAGAATTAGCCGTAGGTCAATAAGCAGCAACAATTAGCTTGTGACGCTAATCCTGCCCACACTACACTGGGTACACAGTGGGTGATACAGGCAAAGATGGAAAGTGCTCTTGTCAATGATGAGCAAACAACTTTTTCAAAGATCAAACATGAGATCATTTATGATTCAGGTAGAGAGGATGAGGATCATGTCTGCAGAATAAGCATGTGAGCTAGTTAAGAGTTGTTGAAGAGGGTACAAAGAGAGCTGAGACAGCTTCTGCAGATATAAGGAACAGTGTCTAATATAAGGACATGGATGACAGCAAACAGTGCAAGGTATGCGGTGGATAGATTTAGCTCAGTAAGCTAGCGGAGTGAGCACATCTGTCTGACTGACCTTTCTCGCTGACGCTTTCCATGTCCACGTCCTCACAGCTGGTGTACTCGGGCGTGGAGCCGCCTTCCTCCTCTGAGCTGCTGATGGACATCTGCCTCTTGTTGACTCCGCGCTTGCTCTTGTATGACCGTGGAGGGGGCGGCCGCAAAGACTCCGACTGGTCCGAACTCTGAGAGTCCTTCCTCAGCAGGTTGTCCCCACCCTTAACCCTTGGTGTCCGTGTTGTACCGGGCTCTAGGTGGCCTTTGTTCGGGCCCCAATCTGGAGGCACCGGTCCCCCAGGTTGGGGTCCTGATTTCACTCCACCTGCAGGCAAAGTTCCCCCTCCAACCCCCACGGTCCTATCCACAGAGTAGGCTCGGTGGTTCTCCAGGAGGGCCTTGTCCCCCTCCCCACCCCCACCCCTCCTGGCCAGACGGTTCTCAGGCACCTCCCCTCGTCCCCCTCCTCCTTCCCCAGGTCCCAGTCCCACCTCGTTGATAGCCAGATCACTGTGTCGTCGTTCATGGCGGACCTTGGATACCTTAGCATGCATGCGCATCTCCTGCTCCTCCTTCTGTGGTTTCACAGGGTATCGTGCCAGGTTGGGATCACTACGGTAACGGTTCTGGAACTCCTCCTCCCGGCGCTGGCGCTCCCTCTGCTCCTCGTCCTCTGGGCGTCTCCGGTGCGACTCTGAACGACCCAAGTTCCCCTCCCCGTCCTCGTAGTCCTGAGAGTGGATCTTTTCCAGCCTCCGTCCTTCTCCTAAGCGTCTGTCACCTCTTTCCCCAGGAACCACTCGCTCATCCAGGGATGACTGAGAGGACAACTTCCCACCAGGTCTCCGGCCACTCCCCCGCCCCATGCCTCCTTTACCATTTTGTTCATGGAGGGAAACTGGCCTTTTCCTGTATGAGAAGAGGATTCATTATACCAACATTTCATACAGTCTGACAGGCCTTTGTAGAGAAATATAAGTATTTCATTTGATTTCACTGTACAAGATTTAAGCATCTTTGGGTCCAGAAAAGCGCTATATAAAATTAATATATTATTATTATATTATTATTATTAATTTAACATTCTGTTCTTGTATATCTTATTCAATTTACAGGTATACTGTATAGACTCCCGCATTTAATTCACTTACAACATTCTCAGCATTATTAAGCTAAATGTATTTATTTATTTCTGTATATAGTTGACTTCATCTGCATTACTCGCACATTGGTCTGCAACATAAACTGCACCATTTTATTCTAATCCATTTGTATTTAATTGGTCATTTGTTTTATTGTTTTAAGTCCCATACTGTATGTATTATGTTGCATTGTTTTGGGCTTGGGACTTAAGTTTGTATTATTGCCAAACCTACACTGTAGTTACTTTGTATATGACAATAAGTCCTTTGGCTCTTTGAAGATGAAAATATCCTGTGCTAAGAATTAACCATTGTCACTTTTTCTACACATAAAACTACTAACTGACAAAACTACTTTCTAAAATCACACACTCTGCCTCAAAATGGATTGAGCGTCCCAAGATCAAAATCTGTGACCTAGCTTCTCAAATAGTTAAGCTGGAAATACATAGATCTATTTATTTTTGTATACACCAGGGATTAAAAAACAACAGATCAGATTTAGCCAGCAAGCATTCCTAGCTTTCTGGGTTTTGACAAATCATGGTTACCATTCTCAATGCCTTTTATGTTCATTCAAATAGGTACATTTGTAAAATATCTCAGACGTGTTGTTAACGCCTTACTTTTCTCGCGGTGGTTCACTTTGGGACCGGGAGCCGGGCATGGTGTCTGCCCCCTTGGCAGCAGGGACACCGGTGGGGGGCTGCGTCCCGTCCGGCGGACCTGCGTTGGAGTTGGTGATGGAGGGCGGGGCTTGGGACCTGGAGCGGAGTAGCTTCCTGTCCCGCTGGGCCTCACCTCCAATGGCTGGGATGTCCAAGGAGCTGCCCCGGCTCCCAGGCTGCACCCCCGACCCCGAAAACCATTCTCCTGATTTGGTGAGAATCTCTTGCTGTTTACGGCACAGGTTGCATACCCACATTACCTACAAAGGTTGAAAGGAGAGAAGCATTAAAGTAGTATTAAAGAATGACATTATATTAATAGAATACCTAAAAGTGATATGGCATGCCTTTGACACAAAAGTCTAACAAATCACAAAACATACATTTATTTTAAAATATACCCCAAACAAATGTTGAACACCTTTTATAGCTCATAGATGTCGGAAAGCGGTCCTTTCTCTTCCTTCCTTTGTTACAGCTAATCAATGTAAGATAACACTCAGACATGACAGACTGTTCCAACATATCCACTTTCTGTGAGCCCAGTGACCATCTACAGAACCCCTAAAGAGGTCATGTTTCACCTGCCCGTCGGACTATTGATGTAAACTCTATTGCTTTTTTAAAATCTTTAACACATCAATATTATTTTGTATGTGTTATGCTCATGTTGGTGATACAATAAAAATATCAGTCTGTAGAGGGCTAAAAATAATGCTGTAGTGGAGGAGGGGGAAGGGAAAATGTAATCTAAACGGTACGATATTGTTTTAATCCAAAAAGAGAAAGCTCAAAGCCATTCTAGTGCATCCTCTTTGCACATTAAATCATTCTCTGTCATTTAGATTCTATGAAATGCACAACATTGGATGACTACAGCCATATACAGTCACCATGATAACATTTCATTCTTCCTCTTCTAAATCAAACCCTATAGACAACATCAAATACTCACATGTAGCCATGGCTACTGAATATCCCCTCACTTCCACGGTACACAAACAGGGTTTATCTCCCTCAGTATTTATAATCCCAACGATTTATAGTCCGAGAACAAATCCAAAGCAAAGAGGAAACACGGTCGTCCCTTGTATTTCACTGCAGAGCCTTTGGCAGAAGTTGAACAACTAAAACACCTCTGGGACCTCCGGAAACCCCAAAATGTTACTCCTTGACGGCCGCTGTCACGGAGTGTTAGCAGTCAGTTTAGCAGTTAGCCTTCAGAGCGCCAAAGCACATTCATCATGGCCTGATTGAATCCCAGTTGGCGCATGTCCAGACTAATCTCAAATAAATCAGCTGTCCACACGGCCCACAGCTGTCGGAAGCAGCCCAGCCATCTCTCTCTCTCTCTCTCTCTCTCTCTCTCTCTCTCTATCTCTCTCTCTCTCTCTCTCTCTCTCTCTCTCTCTCTCTCTCTCTCTCTCTCTCTCTCTCTCTCTCTCTCTCTCTCTCTCTCTCTCTCTCTCTCTCTCCACATCTTTACCTCAGCTGGGGGAGACAGATTAGCAGTGGCCAACAATCCTTTCAGCCTCTCACCATTTTTAAACTCATCAGATGACAACGGCAGCTCACAATTCAAAAACTTCTAACCAACAGGATATCGCTCCTGCCTCATTCATCCCCCTCAGGGCTCAGGCACACCCAGGTTAGAGATTCAGCACGGACGTCCGAGCCTTCCTCCTCCTTTCGTCCCAGGGGAATTTGTGTACAGCAAAACAAATGTGTTCCCCACCGCTCAAATTTCAGACAAATAAAACAGTCAAATGTGTCTTCACAACTGTTAAAGTTCAACCTGAAGAAGTCGTTTTTAATAATGTATTGTTTAGAACTACAATTCGGGTTCTGTTGCAAATTTGAGGCTTTGTTTTTTTAAGGATCTTGACATGTTTTACAAAATATGTTTTGACTTTTATCCAAACTTTTGAAATGGTGTGAGGTTTCAACAGTTGACGCTACACTCTAAAAAATGCTGGGTTATTTCTATAAACACATTGCTGGGTTGATTTGGCTGGGTCATAATTAGGGCTGCCCGATTTTGGGAAAAAATCTAATTGCGATTTTTCTGACAAATATTGCGATTGCGATTCGAATTGCGATATTTGTTTTTAAACGACCCAACGGAAGTTTATTGTAAAATGCGGCCAGAACTCCGGCTAGGAAGGTCGTATCAACGTGCTCCCGTCTCTAGCACCCCCGCAGCCCGAGCTACGAGTGAAAGAACTAAACTTACATGAAACTTCCGTTGGGTTGCTTTAAAGTCAAGCTTCAGTTTAAGATTCACCCTGTAATAGAAACACGTGATGGAGCAGTACTAACCTGACTCAGAAACCATCTAGGAAAGCTCCATTGGAAGCCATTTGGAAAGGGCAGGCACTTTCAAAAGCACTTGGCAGGTGATTGGATCAATCTGTCTATCACCTTCTATCATGGGCTACTTCTGATTACATTACATTACATTGCATTTAGCTGACGCTTTTATCCAAAGCGACATACAATAAGTGCGTTCGACCAACAAAATACAAACTTGAAGAAAACAGAATCATATAAGTACATCAGGTTTCATAGAGCAAAAACATTTCAAGTGCTACTCAACTGGCTTTAGATAAGCCAGTCCTTTATTAGTATATAAGTGCTTTGTTAATAGTTCTATTGCTCGAAGTGGAGTCGAAAGAGATGAGTTTTCAGTCTGCGCCGGAAGGTGTGTAAGCTATCTGCTGTCCTGATGTCAATGGGGAGCTCATTCCACCATTTTGGAGCTAGGATAGCAAACCCACGTGTTTTTGCTGATGGGAACTTGGGTCCCCTTCGCAGCGAGGGTGCAGCGAGTCGTTTCGTTGATGCAGAGCGGAGTGCACGTGCTGGGGTGTACGGTTTAACCATGTCCTGGATGTAGGAAGGGCCAGATCCATTCGCAGCATGGTACGCAAGTACCATTGTCTTGAAGTGGATTCTAGCAGTTACCGGAAGCCAGTGAAGGGAGCGGAGGAGCGGCGTGGTGTGGGAGAATTTAGGAAAGTTGAAGACCAGACGAGCCGCTGCATTCTGGATGAGCTTACAGAGGTCGGATGGCACATGCAGGTAGACCAGCCAGGAGGGAGTTGCAGTAGTCTAGGCGTGAGATGACGAGAGCCTGGACCAGAACCTGCGTGGCTTTCTGGGTCAGCTGGGGACGTATCCTCCTGATGTTGTAAAGCGTGTATCTGCAGCAGCGGGTTGTAGCAGCGATGTTTGCAGTGAAGGACAGTTTGTTATCTAGGGTCACACCCAGATTCCTTGCAGTCTGAGTCGGGGAAACAACAGAGGTGCCGATGTTGATTGTTAGGTCAAGAGTGGGACAATCTTTTCCCGGAAGGAAGAGCAGTTCAGTCTTGTCAAGGTTGAGCTTGAGGTGATGAGCAGACATCCACTGAGAGATGTCAGCTAGACAAGCAGAGATGCGTGCAACGACCTGGGTCTCTGAGCGGGGAAAGGACAGAATTAATTGGGTGTCGTCAGCGTAGCAGTGGTAAGAAAAACCATGCGGGCTAATGACAGATCCGAGCGAGTTTGTGTACAAGGAGAAGAGGAGGGGACCGAGAACAGAGCCCTGAGGGACCCCTGTAGTTAATTGACAAGGGTCGGACTCCGACCCTCTCCAAGTAACCCTGTAGGTGCGGTCTTTGAGGTATGAGGTGATGAGGGAAAGTGCAGAGCCTGAAACTCCAAGTTCTTGGAGAGTGCGAAGGAGGATCTGATGATTCACCGTGTCGAATGCAGCAGACAGGTCCAAAAGGATGATGACAGAGGAGAGGGAGGCTGCTTTAGCAGTGTGCAGTTCCTCAGTGACAGCAAGGAGGGCAGTTTCTGTGGAGTGACCTGCCTTGAAATCAGACTGGTGCGGATCCAGAAGGTTGTTCTGATGGAGATAACAGGAGAGTTGTTTAAAGACAGCGCGTTCAAGTGTTTTAGACAGGAACGGGAGGAGAGAGACAGGCCTGTAGTTTATAACATCAGACGGGTTGAGAGTGGGTTTCTTTAGGAGGGTTTACTCTTGCCTCCTTGAGACTGTTTGGAAAGTGACCAGAAGTTAGAGAAGTGTTGATGAAATGGGTGAGAAACGGTAGAATATCAGGAGCGATAGTCTGAAGGAGGTTTGAAGGGATAGGGTCCAGAGGACAGGTGGTAGGGCAGGGCAGAGATAATGAGGGTAAGAACCTCACTTGGAGAGAGAGGGGAAAAGGAGGTTAGTGTGTTGGTGAAAGGAGGGTCTGGTGACCCAGCGGTGAGTAAAGGTGAGTCAGAAAAAGAAGAGCGAATATCATCAACCTTTTTTTCAAAGTGGTTAACAAAGTCGCTTGACAGAAGGGAGGAGGGGGAAGAGGCTTTTGGAGGGTCCATGAGGGAGGAGAAGATGGAAAATAGTTTTTTGGGATTAGAATAGGAAGATTGGATCTTATCTTGAAAGAAAGTGCTTTTTGCCTGAGAGATCGAAGCAGAGAAAGAGGAGAGGAGAGCCTGATAGGTTAGGACGTTGTCATGGTGTTTGGATTTCCACCGTTTCCGCTCTGCTGCCCGAAGGACGGTTATATTAGCACGCAGTGCGTCATCGAGCCAGGGAGCAGGAGGGGACAGACGAGCCTGCCGAGATGTGAGAGGACAGAGAGAGTCCAGAGAGGATGAGAGAGTAGAGAGGAGAGTTTCTGCAGCAGAGTTTGGAGGTAGGAGTTGGAACGAGTCAGAGGAAGGGAGGGCTGAGAGCACAGAGGAGGCAAAGGTAGAGGGGGAGAGGGAATGAAGGTTACGGCGGACAGGTGCAGGATGAGAAGAGATTAGTTCGTTATGTTTGGAAAGGGGTAGAGAGAATGAAATGAAGAAGTGATCGGATGTGTGGAGCGGGTTTACAGAGAGGTTAGAAGTAGCGCAGTTCCTTGAGAATATGAGATCAAGGACATTGCCAGCTTTATGAGTTGGTGGGGATGAAGACAGTGAGAAAGCAAAGGCAGTTAACAGAGTTAACATTGATTAACAATGGCTGGTACATGTGGAGCACAGCACTTCTGATTGGTGTGGATGACTGAGACACAAGAAGAAAAAAAAATGTTAAAATAAATCGCAGGCGATAATTTGATAATCGCATCATTTCAAATCGCGATTTCGATTTAAAATCGATTAATCGTTCAGCCCTAGTGATAATTATGGGTTATTTGGGTACTGTAAACACACTGGTGGGTTGTACATGCTGGGTCAAAGGGGTTATTAGGGCTTCAATTGCAGTTGAACACCTGCCTGGGTTATTTTTAACCCAGAGGTTGCTTTATTAATTTTCCTACTTCTGAATCATTCTGGAACCATCTTTTTGTCATTTCTCACAACACAAGGTATGTAACCTATATTTTATCACTATATGTTACCTATTTTTATATAATTATACAATTCTGTAACTTGTTGAATCACTAGTAACTAAGTGATTTTGAAAAACCACTAATCAGCCAGTGATTTCACAGAATCACCAGTGTTCTTGCACACTGTAAGACCGAACATTACAAGCTTCTGAAAGAAAATGGGTTGTTTTAACTCAAACATTTAAAAAAGTTAATTCACCGCTAATTTTCTGATGACTATGAACTGATTTTTAATATTGTGTATACAGTGTTCAACCACTTAGGGTCATATTGGTAATAGTACTCAAACATTTTTACTGAATCTGTCTGACGTCATCACATATGTGCTCCGCTCCCGACGTGCCTAGACGTTCTATCACCCATGCCTTCACCAGAGTCCGCCATTAGCCCATGGATGTATAATAAGAACTGGATACAGCGTGGGAGGCGGGGCCTCATTCATTCCTATGAGAGTTGCTCAATGGCGCATGATGACAAAATGGCCCAACTTTTGAGAGAGCGAAACGTCACAGATTACCCGGCATGCCTGAGAAGTACCCGTATGTGCACTCATAGAGCATGCGCAACTTTAACCACGCCGCCCAAAAGGCTTGTTCACATTAAGCACGTGAATTTGCGTACACGTAACAGCACCGCGCGTTCATGACAGCATGGTACTGGATTTATATTAACGAGGCGGCAGTTAGCAGCTAGCGGCTAGCTAGTAAATTATGTTAAGTTACACATCAATCGTTATGTACTTTTATATTACGCTGACATCAGGATCTGATATCCAAGCAACAGAGCTTCATTTAGCATGATACTTGTGTGGGTTGTACATGAAACCACTTGGTAATATATAAAAATGTATATGTTGAAGCCTGTTATGATCAATTGTGAGTTAAAACTTGATCTAAAAAGTAGAGCTGATGATGGATTACTGTGGTGGAGTTAAAATAACAATAGCCTAT